GTGTTTGTGCCGCGCATGTACCACGAACTGACAACGCGCCGCGTGCTGACCATGGAGTGGGTGGACGGCCAGCGCCTGCGCACCGCAGGTGGCCGCGGCGGGTCCGGGGACGCAGGCGGCGCGGCCAGCTCCGACGACCTGCGTCTGGTGGACATCGGTGTGCGGTGCAGCCTGGAGCAGATGCTGGAGCAGGGGTACTACCACGCCGACCCGCACCCGGGCAACCTGCTGAAGACGCGGGACGGCAGGCTGGCCTACATCGACTTTGGCATGATGGGCGAGATCGACGGCACCATACGCAGGCGGGGTTTGGAGTGTGTGTTGTTTGCTTGTGTGGGTGTGGGTTTGCCGCCCCAGAGACCCCACAAGTACCCCTATCTCAAACCCTCCCCCCAATGTCCAAACCCCACATATAGAGGCCTGCTGCAAGCCACCCTGCACCTGATCAATCGGGAGTACGAGGCGCTGGCTGACGACTTTGCAATGCTGGGCATGCTGCCCTCCGAAGGGAGAAAGGAGGAGGTCGTGGCCGCGCTGACAGGCGTGTTTGCAGAGGCGCTGTCCGGCGGCGTCAACAACCTGTCCTTTGGGGAGCTGTCCAACGACCTGGGTGGGTGATGGGGATGAGGGAGAGGGAGGAGGGGGTGTTACGGCCTCCTATTGTCGGGGTGCTGTCTGTGCTGAGCTTGGTGGAGGAGGAGTGGATCAGGAAAAGGGCCCACTCCTGCATCTGAGGGGCTACCTGCCAAGTTGGGGCACCAGTGAAGCTGTTGACCAATGGCATTACGGATGACAGGCGTGCTCGCCTGCGACGCGTATTCACCAGCAGCTTCTCACTCCATTCCCTCACTACTCCCTGCCGCAGCAAACACGATGTACCAGTTCAAGTTCCAGATCCCTTCCTACTACACCCTGCTGGTCCGCTCCCTGTCTGTGCTGGAGGTATGGAAGATGCATTCAATGGTTGGGGGGACTGGGACTTAGGCCAGCTGGGTACCTACAAGGAGTGCTGGACACAGCAGCACCCTCTTTGTGGGGTCAAACTCACCGTGTGCCATGGAGTTGCCTCGAGCGGGGCAGACTCGCGTCGTTCCCCTCTGTACATTTCGGCCCTTTTCACCTCCACCCAGGGCATCGCTCTGGCCAGCAACCCCGACTACAAAGTGCTGGGGGCGACCTACCCCTGGTGAGCGAGGCTGTTGACCGGCTTTGCCCAGTGCAAACCACCGGCCCTAGCACGCCACTCGGCCCCCCCTTTCCCCAAGTTCCAGTGGTTGTCCTGACGTACACGCATACCGAGCTTCAGAGTCCCTGCATCCACCGCACAACCTCGCACACTCACACCCCCTTCCTGCCCCTGCAGGGTCGCTCGCCGCCTGTTGTTGGACACCTCCCCCGAGCTGCGCTCCACCCTGCTCACCCTCCTGTACAAGAACGGCCGCTTCCAGTTCGACCGCCTGGTGGCGCTGCTGGCGCAGGCCGCGCAGGGCGGCGCCAGCCGCCGCGCCGCAGCGGCGGCGGCATCAGGAGGTGTGGGCGCCGCCGCCCCACCCTCGGCGTCTGACGGTGCCGCCGCTGCCGCCGCCAGGCCCCCACCCTCCTCCTCGACCGCCGAGGCGCTGGGCCTGCTGCTCAGCCCGCGTGGCGACTTCCTGCGCAGCATCCTGGTGGACGAGCTGGCCAAGGGCGTGGACTCCTCCTGGCGCCTGGGCGCCGACGGCGTGTTGGGCTCAGCGCGGCGCGAGCTGCGCGCTTTCCTCCTGGCCCCGGAGTCGCAGGGCGGCCCCGCCGCACTGCCCTTCGCCTCCGTGGCCGCGCAGGCCACGCTGTCGGTGCTCTTCGCCATCCCGCCGCTGGCCGAGGAGGCCGACGTGGAGCAGGTGGAGGGCATGCGTCGCCTGGCCGCCGCCGTGAACCCGCAGCAGCCCGTCGCAGGGGCGGGGGCGGTGGTGGGTGGAGCCGCCCGGCCCGCCTCGGCACATGCAGCTCCGGCGCACGCTTCGGCGGCGCACGCCTCGGCGCACGCGGCGGGGTCGCTGCCCCCTCCGCCCGACCAGAGCCTGGACGGGGCGTGGACTGGGGTGGAGGCCGTGGCCTCGGCCGCGCGCTGGCTGGCGCGCGAGTCGGCCACGCTGGGGAAGGAGGAGCGGGCGGTGGCCGCGCAGCTGCCGCTGGCCGTCGCTCAGGCGCTGTCCTCCCGCCTCTCCTCCCGTGCCATCCAGTTCGTGGCCGCCGTCGCGCGGGAGGACAGCGGCACGGCGCCGGGCGCGCCACGCGGGCCGTCAGGCTCGGGCGCGGTCGACGCCCGCGCGACGGCCGCAGCCGCCACGCCGACCGTGCCGACCGCCTCCCAGGGCCCGCCGCCGCCGTCAGCGGGCCCTCCCTCGGCGGCCACCTACCCCGGCATCTCCAGGGCCCCGGTCATGAGGCCCCTGGCCGCGCCGGGCTACCGCGGGAAAGGCACCGCGGGCACAATGGTGCTGACGAGGCCGGCGCCGGCTGACAGCGCCGCGCCGGCATCCTGGTTAGGCTAAGTCGCCGCGACATGCGAAGTATCCTGTTGAACATCCACCCCGCGCGCTTGCAAATACTTTTCCCCTTTGTCTTTTTTGTTGCTGCGGTCGGTGTGAGAGAGCGCATGGTGCCATGGGGCTGCAGGGGCGAGAAGAGAGAGTGACCGCGCGCGCCTCGACCACGAAATCGAGGTGCACAACCCTAGCCGGAGGGGTACAGTGCAATGGCCGCGCACAGCAGGGGCCCGCGCGGCGATTGTGCGCCCATCAATCCTGAGTGCCAAGCACGAGAGGCAGTAACAAAACCACACATTGTCGCGCAGGCGTGTTGCACTGCAGGCTAGTAAGTAATTGCACTGCCAGTGCAAGAAGCGTGAGGCCCAAGCACTGGAGGTCCGGCCCCCACGATGGCTGATCTGATAGCCAATGCGAGGATCGGTGGATGTAGATCGCAGTATAACGCTGCATACCCACATTCTTGCACAGGCGAGTATCTGCGTATGTCTGCTGTTTCTCGGAGGGGCAGCTTTGCCTCGGCCAGAGGAATCAGCCACCAATGCCAGGCCCAGGACCAGCTGGTCCAATGCGATGATATTGCTGTAGGACTACCCCTTCATGACACTCCAATTCCGGCCCCTCGGCACAGGTACATCCACAGGAAGCATGCCTGGCGCCCCGCCCAGCCTATCCCATGCAAGGAGCAGCGGGCTGGCGGCCCGGCGCAAGGGCGACCCACTCGGTGGCTTCGCCCCCCATCCCCATCCACCCACCCCGCGTCCGCGCGTGCGCCCGGCACCCGCCACCTTCCGCGTGGCCTCCGGCGCCGCCCCCCTCCCCGCCTGCCTGCTGGACGTGCATCCGGAGGTGGCCGCCGCGCTGGCGGCGGGCGAGGCGGTGGTGGCGCTGGAGAGCACGATCATCAGCCACGGCATGCCCCACCCCGCCAACGTGGAGACCGCTGCGCGGGTGGAGGCCGCGGTGCGCGCCGCCGGCGCCGTGCCCGCCACCATCGCGGTGCTGGGCGGCACTGCCACGGTGGGCCTGACCCGCGCCCAGCTGGAGCGGCTGGGGCGCGCGGGGACGGCGGTGCGCAAGGCCAGCCGCCGCGACCTGGCGGCGGTCGCGGCGGCGGGCGCCGACGGCAGCACCACCGTGGCCGCCCCGGCGCTGCTGGCCGCCGCCGCCGGCATCCAAGTCTTCGTCACGGGGGGGCTGGGTGGCGTGCACCGCGGCGGCCACCTGTCGCTGGACGTGTCGGCGGACCTGGCGGAGCTGGCGCGCAGCCGCATCGCCGTGGTCTGCGCCGGGCCCAAGACGCTGCTGGACATCCCACGCACATTGGAGGTCCTGGAGACGGCGGGCGTGGGCGTGGCCGCGCTGGGCACCGACGAGTTTCCCGCCTTCTTCACGCCGCGTAGCGGCTGCGCCGCACCGCTGCGCGTCGAGGACGCGGCGGGGTTCGCGCGCATGGTCCTGGCGCAGGAGCGCCTGGGACTGACCTCCGGCCTCATCCTGGGTGTGTTGTTGGGGGGAAGAGGGTATGGAATGTTGGGGAGGGGGAGGTCAGGAGGGGGAGGTCTTGGAAGAAAAGAAATGCACAGGAAGGAGTGCGGGGGTTGAGGGAGAGAATGGATGAGATCTGCTCCCCCCAGGTCTGGCAGCTTGTCTGCATGTATGTGTATTGCGACGGAGCGTTGTTTTGCTGCGTGCTGCTTACCTTCCAGCCGTACACCCACCACGACTCCCGCCCCTAAAAACAGTTCTCCCACCACTCATCCACCCAGGTGTGCCCATCCCCGAACACCTGGCGGCTGAGGGGCAAGAGATCGAGGCCGCCACGGCCACCGCTCTGGCGGAGGCCGAGGCGCAGGGCATCCAGGGCGCCGAGATCACGCCCTTCATGCTGGACAGGATCCAGGTGCTGACGCAGGGGCGATCCCTGGCCGCCAACATCCAGCTCATCCTGAACAACGCCAGGGTGGGCGCCGAGGTGGCGGTGGAGCTGTCACGGCTGAGGAGGGGCGGGCAGGGCCAGGCGACAGAGGGGTGAAGCGGCCTGTGGCAGGGCCGATGCGCGGCCGGGAAGGGGTGGTGCAGCTGCCGGGGCGCACAGCTGGGGAACAGCGCTGTCGATGAGACGTGTGGCCTTCAGGGACGCAAGCAGGGGAGCGAGGAAGGAGGCGCCGGCACGTGGAAATCACACCGCTGTGGCTGCCCATGCACAACCTGGCAGACCGCTGTGGCCAATGCAAGGGTATGCATGATGTGCCCCTGTTGAGCATGGATTCAGCAAGCAGGCAGCAGGACCTGGTACACCGACTCTCACATGAAGAGTGCTCCAGAATCTCCTCGTGCACGCTGTTTGCACGCACCACCTGGAGACCTCATCGAGCCCTCATGACGTGCAATCACAAGCCAGAGGACTTCACATGAGCAGCAGGGAGGAAGGAGTCTCTGCATGCTGCAAGCCTGATTCTGAGCCCTGCCAACAAGCAGACCAGCATCACAGCAGCGCCCAGTTTGGAGAGGGGGTGGACTTGATCCAGTCAAAATCCAGCACTCGGGCCCAGTGGCCTGCATCCTCCCCCAGCCCATGCCCCTCCAGGTCCTGGAGGGTTGAACATTGTGTGGAACGTTGTCAGCATGCCGCGGCAATGGTTTGATCGCTGGGCTGCCCAGACACTGTTATGTACTCGTAGGCCATGCCTCGGAAGGCCCAGTCAGCCGATCGCTGCCCCAGCATGGCGCACCCTGCAACCTCCACGCCTCCCCTCCGCACTTGCCTCCTGGGAGGGTCCCGGCCCTGACGATGTCTGCAAGGGCCCAAAGCCGAGGCCGGAGCTGTGCTCGATGATGGGCGCACTGGAGGAGCGCAGGTGAAATCGGGTGTCGTGCGAGGCATGGATCCTGACCTGGTGCGCCGCCAGGTTGAAGGTGCACGCCCTCGCCCCTGCGAGGTATCCAGGGACGGGAAAGGTCGGTGGGAAGGCGAGGAGGTGTGGTGGCTGGCTTGGGCTACATCAATCATAGTGTTGAACCCCCCCAGCCTCCTTGCCCAAGTGGAGCAATGGGGCTCCCCTCCCCACCTAGCAATCCCCGCACGCGCACCCTCGATGAGGCAGGCGCCGGCCACGGGCCCCGCAGTCACGCTGCACCGTTCCAGATCGTCGATATACAGGGCGGCCGGGCAGCCCAGCAGCATGATGGCCTGGTCCCGCAGTCCCGTCAAGCTCACCTCCTCCCCGCTCACGACCAAGGGGGAGCCACTCGGCAGCGTCGACGAGTTGAAGTGCAGCGTGGACGGCCTGTGCGGAGGTTGGGCGAGTGTGGCGCCCTGCAGTGCAGCGGCTGAGGCCGGGGGCGGAGGCTCACCCTCGGCTGCCTGCGCTGCCGGGGTTGCGCTCTGCTCCACCGTGCCCGCCGGCTCGGGCGTGGGTGCAAAGGCGAATCGCCGCCGAGGGCCCGAGGCGCGCAGAGTCTCCTCCAACGCCTCGGACATGTCCGTCAGCTCGGCCGTCAGCCGGCGCAGGTCGTACTGGGGGAGCCAGTAGGACGCCTCCGCCAGGCCCTGCAGCGTCAGAGAAGGCTACACCTCGTAATCTTGGAGACTTCAGCCCGTTTGGCTGTACCCAGCGACAAGGCATGTTGAGCACCCGCAGCATAACAATGACACGCAACAATGTGTGATACCAGGCGGGTTCACGAAGCCTGCCCCAGATCCCTGCTCCCCAACATGCCTGCTGGAGTCCCATGATTGCGTCTCGCGCAGGGGTTTCCCCGGATTTGTCGCCCTTCACCGCCCCAACGAGAGCCTCAGCAGCGGCCTTCTCCCTTGCATGGCGAGCCAGAAAGACATCCGTGGCTTCCCTCGGATCCGCCTCCTGCGCCGCTAGCACGGCCCTGTCCGCGGAGTGGAGCTCTCGATCCCTTTCTCGGCGCTGCCACCGTGAGATGGCGTCCGCCAGGCCGGACGGTGCTGCAGCCTCCGCCATGGCTTCGAGTCCTGCCGCCGGGTCAAAGCTGCGGATCACTTGTCAGGGGGAAGGCTTCAGAAGTGCGATCTCCAAAGATCCTATGTATGCATATTCAGAATACTTTGAATGAGTCAATGTGCTCTGGGATGGGGAATGGTCATTGGAGTCGTTCTCCCACCGTCGTATGCATGGCTGTGCGCAGGTGGAATTTGCAGTGGCACGCCCAGCATGCAAGCGCTCTCTTCGGACGACACCCCCCTCATTCCTGTTGGTGGCCAGCAAGAGGTCATATGGACAACGAACTCCTTCCATTTTATTATTTAATGGACGCCAAGGTGGGGTAATCGCTGCTCTCCATACAGGCGGAGACTGGCAGTAGAGGCCCGCCGACCCTGACCGGAGCCTGCGGCACCCCCTCCTTCCACCGTGCCCCATTCTGCCCCCTGGATCCTCACGCAGGCTCCCAGCATCATCAAGGTCGAGAGTCCCTGTGCCGTGGACGCCCTTCAAAAGTGTCTGAAGGCGAACAAGGGTGACCACAGCAAGGTGAGGGACGCAGGCTTGGGGAAATGGAGCTGACGTGTCGGCACTGCCGTGCCAGCCCTTCACCAATCCCCACCCACCGCCCGGTCCTGACCAGTGCAAGGAGCAGGTGGAAGCCTTCAACTCCAGCTGCGGTCGGGGTGCGAAATGGGGCACAAGAGGGTCGCCGTGAAGGACCTGCACGATCAGGTGATGGCCACCCTGGACGAGGCCCTGGGGTGGGTGCACGACCAGCGCACCCACCGCGTGTCGGAGTGCATTGAGGTCAGCGAGCTGGAGGTCGCCGCGGTCCGGGGCGCGGTGCAGTCTCTCAAGATGGGCCTGGTGAAGCTGGCGGTGCTCAGGGACGGGCGGTCGCCCGCGCCGCCGCCCAAGGCCACAGGGTCCCTGCTGCACGAGGTGCGAGACGCCGCGCGGGCGCTGGGGGCGGCCGCCGCACAGTGCGCGCGGCGCGGTGGTGCGACCCTGCGCAAGGAGGTGGTGCGCGCGATGACCGCCGTGGTCGAGCCCGCCAAACGGGTGCTGGCCAGCACGGGCGTGCCCGCGCCCGACCCGGAGGCCGTGCTCCGCGTTGCCGCCCTCGCCGTGGAGTCGTGCGATGACGCGGAGCGTGCAGCATGGACCAACAGGGAGGCGCTGGGGCACAGCCTGGACACGGTGAGCGTCGAGAGGTGGTGATTCTGAGGTGGGGTCCGGTGGGCGTGGGGGGGGAGGGCCGGAGGAAGTCTGGGCGTATGTCTTTGAGAGCCAGAGACTGTGCTGTTCACCGCCGCCCGCTCCGCACCCTGCGATCAGGTTGCCCGTATGGCGGAGGATGCCCGGCGCGAGCTGGCAGAGCTGGACCTCGAGCCGATGTCAACCGGCGATTGCGACGGGGCCGAGGGCGTCCCTGAAGGTGGCGAGGGAGGACTCGACGCGTGCGCTGCCGGTCAGAAGGCCGGGAACGCCCGCGCGCGCGGGGGAGAGTGCGAGCGGGAGGGGCCTGGTCGGGAGCAGGCGCAGGAGGGCAGCGGCGGTGAGTCGGAGGAGCTGGCCCTGAGCAGGGCAGACTCCGACGTAGCCAAGGCCATCCTGGAGGTCCTGAGCCGGGCCGCTGCGATGCTGTCCCTGCTGAGGCCGCTGCTCGACGAACAGCCCCAGGGATCCTTTGACTGGGCAGAGTGGGAGGTGCTGATCACAAACACCAACAAGCTGGGTGAGTCGCTGGATGGACTTGCGGTGGTTGTCTACCCCCCCCTCCACCCCAGTGAGGTCAGGGAGGCTGGCAGCGAGGTCAACGTCCACTTGCATGCGATGAAGGACTGGAGACCAGAGGGCCTCGATGCCCGACGTTACACTGGGTACCTCGCAGCATATGACGCCGTGGATGGAGCCCTGACCAAACTGGAGGAGGCCTGTCAGAGGATGTCCATGGGCAACGAATTCGTCGACATGACGCAGAAGGTGGCAGGTGCCATTAGGAGGATGGAGCTCGATTCCTTCACGCTGCGCTGATATGCTGGCCGCGATGTACACCCAGATGCGTGGCCTGAAGCTCCAGGGACATGATCTTGTGCTTGTAGTGATGCAGGAGGCAAGGGGAGGGGGCAAGTGATTGATGAGGTTGCAGTGTGACGAAGAGGGATTGAGTGTCCCGCTCACAGTGGGTGTAGCAGACTTACACAGACAGAGTCTCTTGCCCATGGCAGTGTTTCGATATTCGATGTGGGTCCCATTCCCCGAAGTCAAACGCTGCACATGATTGGCGAGGGGAAACCTTTTTGACTGCGGTCTCAGCGCCTGTTTTGGGAAGTCATGTTGAAGCAATCCAATGAGAAATAGAATCTTGGACGGTGTGCTCTCGTCCTTTGCATGGCATTCTGTCCAGGTAATCTAAAACAGGCACGCGTAGCATGAGCATGCCGCCCTTGGACGACAGCTCTCCCGACCCATGGCCAAAACGGCAGCTTTCTTCCGTGTTGCACATTTAATGACATCAAGGTGCAGTGAGTGACATCCTCCAGTCGGACGAGGACAGGCTGCAGCGGAAAGCCGACTTTGACGGGCCCGGCAGCGGCCCCCCTATTCCCCTGTGCCTCATGATGCCGACTTTCCCTCCACACAGGCACCAAGCAGCATCAGGGTCGAGATTAATTGTGCGTTGAACGCACTACAAGAGCCTTTGAAGGTGCGCACGGGCGACAACGGCAAGGTGAGGGAACAATAAGCCGGGATGAGGATCGAGCAGCTCTCCTGCCCGCCCTGCCATGCCACCACCTCACTACTCCCTTCAATGCCCGGGCTCGTCCAGTGTTCGGAGCAGTAGAAAACCCCTCAACCCCAGCTGTACCCTGGGTCCGCAATGGGGCGCAAGGGTAGGGGCACAATCAGCGTGAAAGGGCTGCAGGACCAGGCGGCGGCCAGCCTGGCTCAGGCACTGGAGAGGGTGCGCAACACCCCCATCTGCGAGGACCCTCGAGGCGAGGTCAGCGAGGCAGAGGTCGCCGATGCTCGGCACGCGGTGGCCACTCTGAGGCACAGCCTGGTGAGCCTGGCGGCGCTCTGGGACGGGCGGTCGCCCGCGCCGACGCCCCCGGTCCTGGAGTCCCATCTCCGCGAGGTCGCGGCCGCCGGGCGGGCGCTGAGCACGGCGGCGTCGCGCTGCGCGCGCTCCGCCGGCCCCACCCTGCACTTCTGGATGCGGAACCTGTTGGCCTCCATCTCCGAGGCCGCCAAGCAGGCGCTGGCCAGCATGGGCACGCTGGAATCCCGCCCCGACACCCTCCGCCGTGCCGTCAATCTTGCCATGGAGGCATGCGATGCCGCGGAGCGCGCGTCCTGGACCAACAGGGAGGTGCTGGCGCGCAGGCTGAACGGGGTGAGCACTGAAGGAGGTACTGTATGCGGTTCGGGAAGGGTGGTGGGGGGCGGGAGGACTTCTGACCACCTGCCTCTGAGAGTGCCAGAGACAGCGTCGCCTGCCACTCAGCGCCACCCGGCGCCCCGCGTCCCCCCGGCAGATAGTTCAGCTGGCGGAGGAGGCCCGGCGTGAGGTGGAGGAGTTGGACCTTGAGCCGTCGCCTGAGGATGACTACGGGTGCTGGGACGAGGTGGAAGGTTTGGCATCTGCTCAGGAGGAGGACCAGGAGGGCAGCGACGACGACCCAGGGGAGGTGGTGGTGAGCAGGAGAGACTCCATCACAGCCAAGGCCATCCTGGAGGTCCTGAGCAGGGCTGCTGAGATGCTGTCCCTGCTGAGGCCGCTGCTCGAGGACCAGCCCCAGGGGCTCTTCGACTGGATGAAGTGGGAGGTACTGATCCCAAAGGCCGACCACTTGGTGAAGTCCCTGGGTAGGCAGGCGCTGCTCGTCTACCCCCCCATCGATGCCGGGGAGGTGGGGCAGGCTAGCGGAGATGTCAAGGCCCGACTTGTGGCACTGGAGCAGGCCTGGGACCCAATGGGTTTGGATGCCCTCCCATCCGAACGCTTCTTTGCAGCACATAGCGCCGTGGAGGGAGCCCTGACCGAACTGGAGAAGGCATGGCAGATGAAGTATGTGTGCGACAAAGTAGCTGCCAACATGAGGAAAAGATCAGATGCCATTGCGGGCTGGAGGCTCCTTCCGTTTTGCTGAGCTGGACTGGTGCGACGTACCCACAGCTGCGTGGCCTGGAACTATGGAGATGTGGTATCGTACATGTTGTTGATTTAGGTATCGGCGATGAAGTGCAGTGATTGCAGCCTGTCATAGGGAGACCCACTTGACCACCCATCATTGGGTTCTGCAGTCATGCCCAGTCGCAATCTCATCTGCCACCTCTCTTCTCAGAATGGGTGTGGATGTGCCTATGGTGGGTTAGGCAGGCGCATAGGGGCTTGATATTCGTAAAGTGCACACACACATACATAATCAGTATGGCCCAGGAGCCTGGGTCCTGGGGGCATCTCTGTCACCAGTCGAAGCAGCTCTTTGGATTAGAGGTTGGGAGGTCTAGGAGCTCCTTGACTTCCTTTGGGGGGTTCAGCTTCAGGTCAACAGCCCTCTCCCACCTGCGAACCAAGGCATACAGGGATGGTGTCAGCAGCCAGAGATGGATAACCGTACACTCCAACCGCCCTTGCACCGACTGATACAACGTAAAAGCCTAGCCTACCGCCCCTCTCCTGGAAACCCACCTTTCTAATCGTGTCACCCCCATGCTCGGCCCATACTTGGAGGTCATGTCGAATTGGCGGAGGAGGGCCTCCACCTCCTCGGCATCGAGGCTCTCGATGCTGGGTGCTGCAGCGGGCTTGGTGCCGGACCCCGCCTTGCTCTCGGGCCGTGCAGTCTCGCTCCCGGGCCTCTTCTGCCTGAATGAGCTCCAAACAGCGCTGGACATCCTTGCTCCCGCTCTCTCAGTCAGCGACTGCTCTGGGTCTGCCTCCCCGGCTGTGTAGTGGGGACCCGTCTTCCACACCGGGGAAGGGGCTCGGAAGGTGATGGGCACCGGATCTCAACAAATCGAAAGCTTGTTTTATATTTCACGGATGGGATCACCTCAGTATTGCAGAGTATGTGAGTCTGAGAGCTTCGGTCACAGCCCACGCCTCGATTGTGAGGACTGCGCGGGGGATGTCGGAGTGTCCCGCAACATTGTGGTAACAAATTCGCTACCATCAACAGAGGATCTTAGAAAACCCGTGGGACCGGGGTTCGAGTCCCCGTATGCGAATGTTCCAAACGAACACACATACATAATCAGTATGGCCCAGGAGCCTGGGTCCTGGGGGCATCTCTGTCACCAGTCGAAGCAGCTCTTTGGATTAGAGGTTGGGAGGTCTAGGAGCTCCTTGACTTCCTTTGGGGGGTTCAGCTTCAGGTCAACAGCCCTCTCCCACCTGCGAACCAAGGCATACAGGGATGGTGTCAGCAGCCAGAGATGGATAACCGTACACTCTAACCGCCCTTGCACCGACTGATACAACGCAAAAGCCTAGCCTACCGCCCCTCTCCTGGAAACCCACCTTTCTAATCGTGTCACCCCCATGCTCGGCCCATACTTGGAGGTCATGTCGAATTGGCGGAGGAGGGCCTCCACCTCCTCGGCATCGAGGCTCTCGATGCTGGGTGCTGCAGCGGGCTTGGTGCCGGACCCCGCCTTGCTCTCGGGCCGTGCAGTCTCGCTCCCGGGCCTCTTCTGCCTGAATGAGCTCCAAACAGCGCTGGACATCCTTGCTCCCGCTCTCTCAGTCAGCGACTGCTCTGGGTCTGCCTCCCCGGCTGTGTAGTGGGGACCCGTCTTCCACACCGGGGAAGGGGCTTGGAAGGTGATGGGCACCGGATCTCAACAAATCGAAAGCTTGTTTTATATTTCACGGATGGGATCACCTCAGTATTGCAGAGTATGTGAGTCTGAGAGCTTCGGCCACAGCCCACGCCTCGATTGTGAGGACTGCGCGGGGGGTGTCGGAGTGTCCCGCAACATTGTGGTAACAAATTCGCTACCACCAACAGAGGATCTTAGAAAACCCGTGGGACCGGGGTTCGAGTCCCCGTATGCGAATGTTCCAAACGATACGATCGCATATCGTATAGGTGGTTAGTATACACGGCTCTCACGCCTCGAAAACCTCATATTTTGCACTTTTTGCCTTCGCGTTGATATTTATGTAGGAAGGATTGGTGTGTGCCTGGATCACCAGCACGCGGGCATCAGGACCTAGTGCACAGGTCCCCCCCTCACGATTGGGATACATGTGCCACATGTTTTACTGATGATGCATGCGCAGGGGTGATCAGGGTCAGTGAACAAGCAATGGCCAGTCATTTTTCCAAACCCGCCAACGCAATGCTGGAGCCGGTTCAGCTCCAGGGATTTGGTGCAAGATGATGTCAGGGTCGATTTTATCTCTAAGCACCCTCCAGAACGGCTCCAGCAGCTCAGAAGGCCAGCCTGTGTGAAGGCTCCTCCCCCGCCCTCCTTGACATTGTGCCGGGAGGGACTGGCGCTCAGGAAGCCTGCCTGGCCCCTGTGGAGTTGTGCAATGGACAATGGTTGCTGGGTTGGGCGGGGAGGACCTGCCGATTTGTTGCAGGGAATATGTCACGGCCCCCACTGGAGCGCCTGCCCGTCGACATCTGGTGGCGCGTGAGAAAGGGTGTCAGGACCCAGGTCAATGCTGCCAGACACCGTTCATCACAGCCATCCCCCCACCTGAGTCAGCGTAGCTGCGGCGCCTCTCGGGCGAGACACAGAGGATCTTAGAAAACCCGTGGGACCGGGGTTCGAGTCCCCGTATGCGAATGTTCCAAACGATACGATCGCATATCGTATAGGTGGTTAGTATACACGGCTCTCACGCCTCGAAAACCTCATATTTTGCACTCTTTGCCTTCGCGTTGATATTTATGTAGGAAGGATTGGTGTGTGCCTGGATCACCAGCACGCGGGCATCAGGACCTAGTGCACAGGCCCCCCCCTCACGATTGGGATACATGTGCCACATGTTTTACTGATGATGCATGCGCAGGGGTGATCAGGGTCAGTGAACAAGCAATGGCCAGTCATTTTTCCAAACCCGCCAACGCAATGCTGGAGCCGGTTCAGCTCCAGGGATTTGGTGCAAGATGATGTCAGGGTCGATTTTATCTCTAAGCACCCTCCAGAACGGCTCCAGCAGCTCAGAAGGCCAGCCTGTGTGAAGGCTCCTCCCCCGCCCTCCTTGACATTGTGCCGGGAGGGACTGGCGCTCAGGAAGCCTGCCTGGCCCCTGTGGAGTTGTGCAATGGACAATGGTTGCTGGGTTGGGCGGGGAGGACCTGCCGATTTGTTGCAGGGAATATGTCACGGCCCCCACTGGAGCGCCTGCCCGTCGACATCTGGTGGCGCGTGAGAAAGGGTGTCAGGACCCAGGTCAATGCTGCCAGACACCGTTCATCACAGCCATCCCCCCACCTGAGTCAGCGTAGCTGCGGCGCCTCTCGGGCGAGACGGTGTCCAAAGAGCCCTCCGCCCGGCTCCGCAGCATGCCTGCGCAGGGGACGGATCGTGGCCATCGCAGCCTGCGGTTGCAGCCCGGGGATGAGCTCGGGAGCCGGAAGAGGTACTCCGGCTGACCCAGGACTCCATAGCTTCTGTAAACTATCAAACGACCCATCAAGGGTAACTCCACTCAACTCACACTACTTCTCGCCAACGAGAATGCCCAACCCCTCCTCCAAATATACAGCCTCACCAGAGTCGCCCCTCCAGGAGGTGGGCGTGGCCAGCCCTCGCTCAGTCAGCCGTGCACTCCAGTCCCGACCTGACCGCACGGGGTCGACCCCGTCGGGCGCTGCTGCAAAGTCGGTGGATGACCTGCGGGGGTTGCTCGGCGAGGAGTGGGTGAGATGGCGGTAGCCCCGTCGCTGATGGAGCCTGACCGTGTGCCTCCCGTCGGCGCACCCTGCACAACCCCCCCCTTCCCCTCCTCGCCCCCAAACCCGCCTGGTCTTGGCGCCCATGAAGGGCGACAGCCAGCGCCGCAGGCCGTCGGTGAGGCTGGTGCGGGCGTCGCTGACCCTGGACACCCCTGGCGTGGCCGCCGCCGCGTCCCCCGCGGGGCCTGTAACATTGGCGTTAGGTGGTTGGGGTGCAAGGCTCTGAGGCTGGGTCCAAAAAAGCCAGGCCCCTGCCGGTCTCCAGGGCCAGCCAGGTCAGCACCCGGGAGCGCCGCGCCAAACCCCCTCTCCATACACACCCATGGTCCGCCCCTCCCAGCACACCCGGGCCTGCCACCCCTCCCAGTACACCCCGCCTGCCGCCCACCAGCGCACCTGGGGTGGCGAGGTCAGCGCCCCCAGCCTGAGGCGAGGCACGGCTGCCGGCCGTCCCCTGCTGCTGCTGCTCCCGCTCCATGCCGGGTCGCCGGACAGGGAGGCCACGGGGGCCTCGGGAAAGGGCGACAAACCCCGGTCATGATCGTGGTGGGGCCGTGACTCGGCGCCCTCGCCCTCATCGTCGTCGTCGGACGACTCGTCCTCTCTTGGTTCTGCAGCGGCGCGCGCCTCGGCGCCGGCCCCTGGCTCCCGCGGGCCGCCCGACACCGGGGGCTCCTCCCTGCTCGGCACGGCAGGCCCCAGGGAGAGTGGGCCTTGGCGATACCCCGCCAGCACCTCGCTGAGGTCAAGCGTTGTGGTGGAGCCGCCGCTGACGTTGGCGGGGCGGGCTGGGGAAGCTGGGGCCACTGGCGGCGCCGGGACCCTGAAACTAGGGGGCGGGCAGTGGTGCCTCGCGATCAGGGACCTCGGACCCAGGGTGGAGGGGCATGCAGCGCTCCTCAGCGAGCCAGGACGGCTCCCCCTCGTCCTGCAGGCTCGCGACACGACGACAGGCTTTGCCCCCAGTGACCCACCTCTCGACCTCATCCCAGCACCAGCCCCCACCCCGCCAGAGTCACACCACCGCACAGCTCCCCCTCCTCACCCAGCCGCTTCATCGACGGACTCCGCGCCGGCCCCGTGGGCGTGCAGCGCCGCCAGTCGCGCGCGCCTCACCGCCAGCCCGGCCTCGATGGGGTTGGGCGCGGCGTCCGCGGCGCCCCGGCCCGCCACGGACCCGCCCTCCTGGGCGGTGGGATGCGCGGGCTTCGGATGCGGTGCCGGCGCGGACCCCAGCGCGCGAGCCGGCGAGCTGCCTCTCACCTCCTGCCCTTGCACGCCACCCGGAGCCGCAATCGACGGCGTGGCCGCGGTGGCAAAGGCCGGATTGTAAAAGAGGCGGGCCTGGGGGTCGATGGGGGGCCCGGTGTAAGTCGCCCGCATCGCCATGCGGTAGTGGTCGAGCTCGGCGTCCTGCCTGGCCTCCGCGGCGCGCGCCGCGGACCGCTCGGCGCTGGTGGCAGTGTCCGGTCCGCGTGCCACGCTGCCGGTCCCCCGCCCCCCCTCCGTCCCGGGGCACACCGCCAGGCTGGCGCCCGCCAGCGCCGAGGCCGACACGCACGACGCCTCGGGCCCGGCATCCCCCCAGGCGTGGGGCGCCGAGCCCCGTGTCTCCGCGGGGGAGGGCGCTGACGGCGCGCAGCGCGGCGCCGACCCTGGCGCCCCGCTGGAGCCGGAGCTGGCGGTGGGCGCGCGGCGCGCGGCCTCGCCCGCCCTGGCCGGCGTCCGCGAGTCCAGGGACCAGGCTGCGCCGCTGACGCCGCCGCTCAGGCCGGGGACGTCGCCGCCGCTGGACTCGCACTGGTACAGGGCCGCGTTGAAGCGCGGCGCCTTGCGAGTGGAGAAGGAAGGGTCGAGGGGGGTTGCGCGGCGGCGGAGGGATGGGTCACCCGCGGCACTCGCCACGCGCTTCACCGCACGTCCTTGCCGGTGACGAGGCGGTCCAAGTGGCGGGGAACGGCGGTGCATCCCCATGCACAGCTGCCCCAGACCCGTTCCCGACATCGCGCACCCCTCGACCCCCGGGTCCGACCCCACCCTCCGCCACACCCCTCCCACCTCCCGCGCGCCACGAGGCTCCAGCCCCGCAGAGCGGGCGAGGAGGGCCGCGCCGCCCAGCGCCACCTTGCGGCCCGCCGGGCCCAGGGGACTGGCCTGCGCGTCGTACCTCCCCCCCGTCGCCGCCCCGCCCGGCGAGTCGTCGCTGTCGCACAGTATGTGCACGGCCGCGATCCTGCCAGGGTCGGTTCCGCCCCGGCCGCCCGTCGGGCTGCCGTACTTTTCGCGCAGGCTGACCTCTCGGGGCTCGCCGCCGCCGCCCTTCTCCAGGTCGGGCCCGCCCCCGCTCGAGGGCGCGGGGGTGAAGGGCGAGCCGGCACGGGACAGCGCTCGGCGCCGCCGTCGCACGCACAGCAGCGTGCTCACCGCCGCCGCGATGGCCAGCGCCACCAGCACGGGGCCCAGGATGGCGCCCAGCGGAGGCCCGCCCGAGGCCACGCTGGCGTCCTCCACCGTGCCGTTGGCCGGCGGGGGCGGCGGGGCCCAGGCGACTGCGCCAGGGCCGGGGCCGGGGGCGGGGCCGGGGGCGGGGGCGGGCGCGGGGGCGGGGTGCGGCACCTGCCCCGGCGAAGACTGCGATTGGGACCGCAGCAGGCCCAGCGCGACGACGTCCGCGGAGCAGGCGCCGGCGGCGCCGACGGCGTAGCCGGCGGCGCAGGTCGCGCACCGCTCGCCGGCGTACCCCTGCCAGCAGAGGCAGGTGCCGGCGGCGGCCTGGCACGTCCCCGCGCCGCAGCCGCCGCTGCACCCCGCCGGCGTGGCCAGCGGGCAGTCGGCGGGGCAGGTGCCCGTCACCCCGGACCCGGCCTGCCCAACCTCCCCCAGCTCGCACACGCCGTTGCCGCAGACGGCCACGCTACGCCGGGGTTTCGGGCGCGGGGGATGGTTGACAGCGGGGCAGGGGTTGTGAGCATGAGTCATGCCCGTCTTGGGCAACGAAATCATCCTCCAGGGTCGCCAGGCGATCATCTGGCTGCATTCATCCTCAAACCTGCCCTCGAGCACCACCCGTCACCCCTTTATCAGTACAGCCACCAGCCCCACAACCACCGACCCTCCCACACACCTGGATGCCACGGCCGGGGCCAGGAGCTGGACGGCCTCGTCGCTCACCGCGCCCGGGACCAGGGTGGCAGCAAACCAGCCCGGCGTCCACGGCGAGTTCCCCGTCCGTGAGTCCGCAGGCACGGTCAGCGTCGCCAGGACTGTCGGTGGCGTCGAGGCGCCGGAGGCCGATGGCGTGGGCGCTGTGACGGGGGACCCGGCTGCAGTGGACGGGGACCCGGCTGCAGTGGACGGGGACCCGGCGGCCAGCGCCGGGCTCGGTGCCTCGGCGGTCTGGTCCAGGCCGACATCCTGGGCGCCACCCTGCCCCACCGTGGCCGGGCCCCCCGCTTGCAGCAGAGCCCGCCGCCTCCTCCTGCTGCCCCCGGTGCTGAGCGCAAGGTCCTCGGCCTGGCCCAGGCCGTCCACGCCCGCCGCCCGCCCCAGCGCGTCGAGGTAGGCCTGCAGCGGCGCCTGCTCCACCCCGCCATCGCTCACCAGACTCGCGTTCACGCCCATGCGCAGCGACAGGGCCAGGTCGCAGGAGGTGCCCAGGCCGTCGCAGACGCCGCAAGCGTCCAGCGCGCCGCTGGCGCAGCACAGCCCCGCGGCATCCAGCTGGCCCGAAGCGCAGCAGGCACCCAGCGCGTCGACGGCCGTGGCGTTTCCGCCGCAGACGCCGCAGGCGTCCAGGGCCTTGCCGGCGCCGCAGCAGGCGCCGGAGGCGTCCAGCGAGGCACCAGACGGGCAGCAGGCGCCGGTGCCGGACACGACGCCAGAGTCGCAGCAGGCGCCGGCGGCGTCCACGCTGCCGGAGGTGCAACTGCTCGGCACCTGAGCGTTTGAGAGAAGTGGGAGGGTGTGTGGCAGGTCGAAAGGTGGCGGGGGTGGGTAGGGTGCGCGCATCGGCATGGCTGGATCAGAGGGCGCCTCGATCGAATCTGCAGCGCCGGCGGCAACCCAGGCCCTGGGCGATGCTCTCCTGGGCCGAGGTTGCAGAGTTCCCCGCCCTCACGCCATGCCCCTGCCTGCCGCAGCGCCAGGCGCTCTGCTTCCCCAGCTCCCCGCCCCAGATCCCCTGAGTCACCTGGCAGCGGGACCCGGTCCAGCCCGCCTCGCAGGCGCAGGCCGCGCCGGTCGAGCAGGCGCCGTGCAGGCACGTGCCTGCCGTGCAGACCTCGCAGACCTGCGTGCCGCAGGCGCGGGAGGCGGCCGGCGCCGCCGCGGCGGGACACAGGGAGCTGGCGGCCGCCGCGCCGGTGTCCACCGCCACGCACCTCACGGTGCGGCTCTGCGAGCCGCCGCCCCCGCAGGTCACGCTGCAGGCCTGCCAGTCGCCCGTGCGCCAGGCGTGGGCGGTGCAGGCGCCCGTGTTGCACTCCGTCGTCAGGGCGGCGGGCTCCGTGCAGGGCCCGTCGACGCAGGTGGCGTTGCGGCTGGCCTCCCCGCCCCCGCACGCCGCGTCGCACCCACTCCAGGGCCCGTAGCTCCAGTGAGCCGCGGCGCAGGGAGTGGCCAGGCTGGCGAGGGTGGTGGAGGAGCGGAGGCGGAGGTGGGTTTGGGGTGCTTGATTCTCAGTGTTGGAGAGAAATTGCATTGATAGGGAGCCGTGAGGCGGGGGGACGGTGGTCAACAGGTACGCCGGCTCTCAGCAAGCCGCATGCAAGACCTCTGCCCGAACCAGCTGGAACCACAGAGCCAACAACCCACCACTCCGCCCACCCACCTGCAGCTCTGCAGGAGCACCGGGGGACTAGCGCTGGTGCAGGACGTCAGAGGCAGCACGTCGCCCGTGCTGGCAGTGCAGGTGGCGGTACGAGTCTGCCAGCCCTGCCCGCAGTCGCCCTCGCATGCGCCCCAGGCTCCCAGGACCAGGCGAGCCGTGGACGAGGAGGCATTGGAGGGGGGGCGGGGGGGAGGGAGGAGGGGGAGCAGGCTGCAGCGGCAGCACCGGTGGGGGTGGGGGTGGGGGCCTGCACGGGGAGTCTGAAGGCTGTCGGCATGTGCTTGCTGCAGCACTTGGTTCCGACATGGCCGGCTGTCCAGCAAGCAGGTGCACAGACTGCAACAGACCACCACTCTGCAATGGATCAAATCACAGTTAGCCACCCAGGACGTACGGCGGGGGGGGGGACTGGGGTGGGGGGGAGGGTGGGGGAAACGGGCCGTAGCCAACCATCACCTCGACGCCTGCTCGTGAACAGATGCGACACAGATGAGAAAGGAAGGAGAGAGATTTGAAGCAGCCTGAGTCTCTAGCGAGACACAAGGCTTCAAGGGGCCCAGTCCTTGTCTACTGATGGGGTCTCGCTGCTCCGCTACGAAGACGGCAGGCCAACAAAACACCCCATCAGGCCCAACAGTCAAATACCAGGCGTCACGTCACCCCCCTGTCCAAACCCATTGCTCGCCTGCGGGTGTGGCGTAGAACTGGGTGGAACGGGTGGCGAAGTTGGCCACCCCGCCAACCACCGCTGCAGCAGTGGCGTCACTGGTGAGGGCAGCGGAGACCTCCTCCACCTCCTCCCCCTCCGAAAGCAGGACGCTGAGGCTGAAGCGGGTGCAGCCTGTGTCCTGGTTGACAGTGGGTGGCATCGCGGCAGCAAACCCCACTGCAGCCTCGCCTGAGCTGGGCGTGAGGCAAGCCACCTTGCAGCTGCCAGAGGCTGCCAGGTCCTGGAGGTCGGGGCTGGCGATGAGGAGGTCGCATGCCGGCACGGCCGTGGCATTGCCCTCGAGGCAGGTGCCTGTCAGCGCCAGGGCGTGGAGGTCGGACGACATGGCCTGCTCTCCACACACGTAAAAGGGTCTGGAGCAGGATGCCACGGCCTCGGAGGGGTTGCAGGCCGTTCCCTGGCTCAGCTGTATGGCGCAGGGCGGGAGGCCCAGGGCGGTTTGCAGGGTGCTAGCCAGAGCATCACCCAGGTAGAGACTGCTCTGGCTGGCCACCAGGCGGAGGTCGGCGCGGAGCGCCGCGTATCTCGGCTGCTCTTCTATGAATTCGCATGTGTTAGAGGAGTTCCAGGCGCGGCAAGTGCTCACGATGGCGAGCAAGAGCAGCGCCCAGCACCCTCGTCGGATGGGGAGCCACCTGGCGCCCATTCCTGCACTGCCCGTACTCAAAATTACTGGCGTTTAATTACGACCATGACGAGTGCTGTCGGATGAAATGGTCATGCTGTCGCTCGAGACCCCCTGTCCGCACCTGGCGCGCCACGCGCTTGAATCTGGTGCCTTTGAGGAAACCAGGAACATTCGTCTGCTTGCCGTGCTGGCGATGGCAGCCTGTGGTACTTCACAGAAGTGCGACGTGCTTCCCACCAGCGCTTTGTGATATGACTGTGGTAAACTTCGCCATCTGGAATCCTTCAGCTGCTCAGCCTCAGCCAATGGGTCCTGCTGGTCCGCGGACTCATGAAGGATTCTCCCTCCATGTTCCTTGCATTGCCTTGTGTCCAGACTTGAAAATCAGCAAGCGGTTGTTTGAACAGAGGCAAGGCGTGCCTGCGATTCACCAGGGGAACCTGCGTCCCGCCCTCGGGGTAGCAGACAGCCTGCCCGCGCCTCCACCAGCTGGCACTGTGAGATGCACTGCGGAGCGCCCAAGATGTCGTCCTGCCTCGTCCTGCCCTCACCAAGGCCCCCTCACCAGTCCTCCACCTGGAAGGCGGCGGGGTCGGCCCGCGTCTTGGGGGCCGCGGGAATGAAGAGGTGCGGCGCGGCCTCCACCACGGCCGCCAGCTTGCCGCACACCTCGGGTGCGGTGCAGGGGCAGCGGCTCTGCACCTGGGCCTCAGGGGCGGTGCCGTTGCAGACCCGGCCCCCCTGCCCCACGCCGTGCGGCGCGTAGTAGGGCGCCGCGGCCAGGTCCGCGCCCGGGTCGATCACGCTGGCGGCCCCGGCCGGGTCCCAGCCGGGCGGCCGCCCCCGCGCCAGCCAGACGTTGGTGTTGTGGGTGATGACGGAGTGGTAGGACTGGGGATGCAGCGCCTCGGGCATGGAGGCGCAGCGCGTCCACCCCGCCGCCGCCAGCTCCGGGGCGGTGGGGCAGCCGCCCAGCGAACCCTCGCCGATGCGCGCGTAGTCCTCCAGGTCATGCACCAGGCTGGCGGCGCCGACCGAGAACACGGCGGTAGGGTCGGTGAGCCGAGAGCCCTGCCGCGCATACGAGGGCACGTCCACCGCCGTGTAGCCCAGGTTGAGCATGGCCAGCAGGGTGGAGGGCATGGCTGCGGCCCGCTCCCACTGGAAGGTGCGCTCGAAGATGCCGGGGGAGTACTCGTACAGGATGTTCTGGATGGAGCCGTCCAGGAGCAGGGACTTGGCCCCGCGGAACACCTCCGGCTCGTGACCCTCCACGTCCACCTGCACTCAATTTTTTTTGGGGGGGGGGGGAGCAAGCAGACTGTTTGAGTGTGTGAGTGAGGAAGGGCAGCGGGGGAATGGAGGGGTGCGAAGGTGGTTGTGTGGGGGCCAGCCAGCGCAGCAGACAGGCCTGGGCTCCAGCGAGCGGGATCTGGCGGCGCCGACGTGTGTGCATGAACTGGCGGCAAGGCCGATGCGCTGCAGACTGCTGTGCGGATCGTCCAAAGGTGGCCCCACCCAACCCGCACCTTCATGAGGAGCACGGGACCGTTTACCACCGAGTCCACGCGCTCCGTCTTCCTGGTCACTGTGTTCCAGGGCCCCTGGTCGATCGAGTGGCTGTGCGTTTGGTAGGTGGGGTTGGGAAAAGGGGACGTCAGGAGTGAGGGGATGAAGGAGATGAGAATCGGGGACCAGCCAATGCATCCATGCAGTACAGCTGCAGGGCGTGTGAGGTGGGCCTGGAGTGCAGGTGATAGTCCACGGCGCGGCGCCCCACACATGATTGTATATACGGCCGCCGGGACGCCCGCAACACACCCCTCAGCTTCCCTTCCTTCCCGCCCTCAGACATGCCTCGTCGGCCGATTCCCCGCGCACTCGATGTTATTGCCGTCCACGCCGGCGGTGCCCAGGATGCCGTGGTTGGGGATGGTGATGGTCAGCTCCTTGCCGTCCTCGTCGCTCACGATGGCCTCCCGCAGCTGAGGAGGAGGTGTGTGTGGTGGGGGGGAGCGTGTGGGCTTGGGAGTGTGTTTGTGAGCTTGCATTCGGTCGCCTGGGCAGGCTGACCGGCAGCATGCATGACAGTGTCGAGGTGTTGGGCGAGGGCACATGGGCAAACATTGGGCACTGGATGGGGCTGCCTGCCACGGCGCCTGGACAGAGTTGGCCGGAACAAGTTCCACCTCCCACCTCTATCCGATGCGCCACGTCGTTCAGGAGCGCATTGTACTTGAAGTATGCAGAGAAGGTGGGCACAGGCTCCCAAGACGTGACCCTGTGCGGCAGGGGGCGTGGGGCGAGTGTCCAGTCGGCGGCGCGCGGAGGGTGAGAGCCCTCACCATGGACCCCAGCCTTGAACCTAGGCAGGAACCCGACCCAGGCTCCAGGACATGCTGAGGTTGGAGCCCTGGGTCATGATGTTCATCCCTCACTTCCCTCCCTTGAATTCACAGCAGCCCTCACCTGCAGCCATACACGGCGGCCATGACCGAGTAGTAGCCAAAGTTGCCGCCCACATCAATGAAGTGGCTGCCTGGGGTCCCGCAGTCCATGAAGATGTCGTGCCTGTGAAACGATTCGGGGTGAGGGGAGGGGGTTGCCATGAATTCTGGCATAGGCAATGTTGCAGGGGAGTGCGCAGACCAGTCGGTGCATCTGATGCGCTGCGAGCAACAGTGGTACACAAAGATGAATCACAGCAGGTGCCTTGCACCCTCACTGTCCCGCCCCCTCACCCAGTCGCACCAGATGCGGAACGTGTGACCTTCAAAGTAGCCGTAGGCCATGACCTGTGCCGACACGTCGACGTCGATGCGCGGGTCGGTGACCGCAAAGCTGAAGGCGCGGGGCAGTGCCAGCTCCCGCATCGTGATGGTCATCTGGGGCAGGAGGAGTTTGGGTGGTGGGTCAGCGTAAGCATCTGGGTCGGTCTCGGGCATGCAGGCGGATGGACCACTTGGAATGCAGATCGAAGCTGGCGTGGGCATTGAGTGTCTCCCATACCCTGGGGTAGGGTCACAAAGCCCTCAAACATGCTACGCATAGGGGAATTTGAGCTGCAAGCAGGTGCTCCGAGTACATTTCAAACAGCCACTGTCAGCACACTGGGACCAGTGGAAGGCCCTGCCCCAAAGTGCAGCCCCAACGGCCAGCCCGTGGACACCCAGAAGACAACAGCCACCGGCTCACATTGGCATCCAAAATGTCTGCCACGGGCGTCCACGCCAGCTGCTCCTCGCTGGCAGATGTGATCCAGGGGCCGCAGTCCTCGCAGTCGGTGCCCAGGTCACAGAGGACCGGGAAGGGCTGCTGGCGGGAGGCCTTTAGGACCTGCCTCCCATCCTGGCAGACCCCATCTCGCGCTTTGGGGCAGGTGTTTGTACACACTGCGGTCAAGGGAAGTCGGTCTGCAGCATGCAGGGGGAAATGGCAGAGGAGATTGGAACAGTGGGGAATTACCTGGATTGCTTGTGGTTATTGGGAATAATCGGAATCTGGAACGGGGAGGGGAACGAGGCATGAAGCTTCCTGATTCCCCAACCCCTTGAGGTCATCCTGCGCCCAGCCTGCTCAGAATGCAACCCACCTTGGCCCAATCCAGCCGCTATGCCGGAGATCTTGCTGGCAATTGAAACTTGTGAAGCGCTCTGCATCGTGGAGATTGGAAATGAGAAGAGCTCACGACGCACGAACTAGGAATGAGACCTGGCAACGAGACCCGTTCTGTGTGCGACAACACACACACTTGGCACTCTCGCAGAAACAGCTCAGTTACCTGTAGTTTTGACCACACATCTCCACTCGGGAGCCAGGTACATGCCGAAATGACCAATACCAGGGCCAAGCTGCCGAGGAGGAGGCCGACCTTGCCACCCCGTCGGCCCCGGTCTGCCGACAGGAACCTCCTCTTCAGATGCCGCTCCATGTACGGTACAGGCCTTGAACTCGCAATACGCTGCCAAGTCGAAGCTAGAACTGTCAGTTCCGTGACGCTGGTACTGTGGACACTCGGAGTACTCTTGCTTAACAGTCCGGAGTCCAGCTAGGGGCATTTCGCGCGCACAAGTTCACTCCCACCTCAGAGCACCCCAACCCTTCAGCCGGAGCTCAAAGAAACAGGGGAAGTGATTGTAGGCGAATCTTCCTGATGCGCGCGACCCCTGTCCTCTGTCAAACATACTCGCTGGTTTGTACTCGCGAGTTGAGGGGGGGAGGGGATGCATGTCGGTCGCATTCGTGGATTCTTCGTTGAAACGCCTCTAATACCCCCTGGATGACTCGTCTGGCCGAGCATGCGTTTGCCACCTTGTGAGAATTAATACTGTCCTGGGCACAAGTCATCGTCGGGAGCACCAGACTCGGTCCACAATGCCTCGCAACCGCCACTGCTCCGCCACAATGAGCTTGGAGAGCCAGAGCGCTACAACAGGTCCGGGCCCCCACCCACCCACAGACCTCACTCCGCTCGCTTCAGGCCCAGGATGGGGAAGAACATGCAGGTGCTGTGCTCGCGCGCCACGCTGAAGTCCCAGGTGGGGACCAGGGTGGGCGCCGCCTCGCCCGCCGTGCCCTTCATCAGCAGCTGCGCCGCCAGCCCGTTCTGGGTGGCGATGCGGCGCAGCCCCGCCAGGTGCCGCTCCTGGCAGGAGTGGAGGTGGAAGAGGGGGGCGAAGGGGCTTTAGGGTTGGGGGCTGGTCGCCGGGGAGCCAGGCACGCATTGACGGCAAGGGGTGCGATTTCCAGGCGGGGGCAAGGGCACTCGAGTCCGGCACACATGCCTCGGTCCAGGCCGAGGCTACGATTCCATACCCGGCCACCCTTGCCCCTGGACCACGAACGCACGCATGCTGGCGCCCCACCTGCGCCGGCGCCAGGTCCACCGCCGTCCCCGCTAGCAGGCCCGCGGCCGCGCCGACCAGCGCGCCAAAGCGCGTGGCCGCGCCGAGGAGCAGCGCCGCCGCGCTGACGGCCCCCGCCTCCACGGCCGCCTGGCTGGCGCGGTAGTGGCCCAGCGTCAGCGCCTCGGGGCGCGCCACGGAGCGCATGCAGCCGAAGCGCTGCTCAAACACGTCCTCGGCGGTGTTGAAGGGCGAGGGAGGGCGGCGCATGCACGCCCTGCGTGTGTATTTTGTGTTTGGGGAGGAGGGGTGGGGGGAGGGGGTTGGGCGTCGGGCTGTGCAGTCGCCAATGCAAGCACTGAAATGGGGCAGCCGGTGGGTGTCTGCAACGGGATGTTTTGTGGCAGCGCGAGGCGAGCGCCCACGTCTGACCTCTGCTCGCTCTCCAAGGATGTGTGCACGCCCGTGTCGCCACACGCGACTGCCCATTCCCATCCTCCCTGAACCAAACCCAGGCCCGGCCTCACCCCGCGGCGGCGGCGACGCCCTGGCAAAGCACCACCATGGCCTGGCAGGCGGCGCGATCCACGTCGGCCACCGCCTCCTCCGGCGCCGAGCCCCATCGCCCGCGCCGCGCCAGGAGCAGGTAGTCGCAGTACCAGTACAGCGTGACGAACTCGGCGGGGGCGTACAGGTTCAAGGGGAAGCCGAGCTGGAGGTGCAGCAGCTGCGAGCCCGCCGCCTCGCTCTCCACCCACTCTACGGGGCTCAGCGCCGGCTGCGGCGGCGGGCAGGGGGCCGGGGAGGAGGGCGGGCGTGGGCACGGGGGCTTTCAGTAGGGGCGCCTGGCCCAAGCTCCGTCGGGGGAGCGCGGCACGTATGCTTTCCAGGCCTTCCCCCTCCCCCCCCTCCCCCTCCGAGCACCCACCGCACCCACCTGGCCCCTGCGCACGTCCCGTCGCCGGCTGGCGGCGTACCCCGGGGACGATTGGGCCAGGGCCGCGTGGTCCAGGAGGTTGGCCCAGTCTGCCAGCTGGCGGCGGTGCCGCCGGCGCTGGCGGCAGCGGTTGAGGCAGGCGGTGTGCACCCACCCCGCCAGGCCCACCCCCGCCTGCTCCAGGAACTGGGCGACGGGGCCGCAGGGATCGTTGCCGCGGCGCAGGCCCAGGGTCGCGGCCGCCATGGCCCAGGAGGGGCACCAGGGTGGGAGCGCGCCGGGCGCTGCATGGCGGCAGGAGAGCGGTGCGCGGGCATGGACGCGGGGGTGAGTGGGTGGCAGTGACGCGCAGGGTTCCAGGGGTCCAGCCAATGCACGCAGGGGGGGTAAGACGTGCCAGGCGTGACTGGAAGCGATGGCGGAATCAGGACATCTTGGCTAACAACCCCCGCTCCCCCCCCTGCACGACGGACCCGGGGTAGTGACGGAGCCCGCGGCCTGCCGCGCCGCGGTCATGGGCTTGGTCAGCATGGCGTACAGCGTCGAGCGCACGATCGCGTGGCTGTCCCTGGCCGCAAGCGTGACCAGCGCCTGGTGTGGGATCGGGGGAGGGTGGGAGCCGGGAGGGGCCTGGCGCGACGATGCATCTGCTCGCCGCCGGCTGGCGTACCGGCACAGGGGTTGCGGCGGGGAGGCACGGAGGCTGGGAACGCGCGGACCCGACATCTGACCCGCCAAGCACCTCCCTCTCCATCGCCAAACCCCCCTCCCTGTTCAGAAGCAGCCCAGCCCGCCGCACCCACCGCGCGGAGCTGGGGCCAGGTGCGCACCGCCCGCACGGCTCGCGCGGCGTCACACAGCGCGCGCAGCACGCCGCGCCAGTGCGCCGCCGCCGGCCTGGCGCTCACCCAGGCCAGAGCGCGCGGCGGGGCCAGCCCCATGTGCCGGACGTTGATGCCGGGGACAAAACCCAGGCTCCTGGGGCCACAGGAGCCGTCGGCCGCGGTATCTGTAGCCGCGTCGCTGGACGCCGCTGCCGAGACGGCCTCCAGGCAGCCCAGCGCGAGCTCGAGCTGCGCGACCCCAGCGTCGATGCCATCCGCGTTTGCGGCCAGCATCCGCTCTAGGCCCTGGGGGTGGGGAAAGGGGGGATTGAGAGGACGGTGTGAGGGCCAGTTTGGAGTTAGCACGCGCATTTGCTCGGGGTCAATAGCTGGGCAGAGACCAACATGCGATGTGGGCCCCGGACAGGCTGGCAGCCATGAAGACTCCAAGGCACTCGAACGCCGTAGCCACCCGGCGGCACCTGGAGGCAGTGCAGGCGGAAGGAGAGGTGGGCTGCCAGCCCGGGAGCATCACTGCCCAGGTCCTCCACAGCCGAGCGCAGGGCGGCACAGGCCTGCGGGAGGGCGGTGGTCCCTGGGGCCCCCAGGATTCTCATGCCAAAGGTGTGGATGCTGATGTCCTCATCCTGCGCTTGAGGAGGAGCGGGCGGTTCAGGGAGGGCAGTGTCGAGTTTACATCCCGAGGCCTTCCATTGCCAGGAGGCGACAGGCAGGCGTCTGCAGCCGGAAAAGTGGAGCCAGGCAAGGTGCCCACCTCGCAGACATGGCCGTTCAGCAGGAGGTCATGCACCAGGGTGCAGCTCTGCTGCACCGAGAGGCACAGCGCATGCAGGACGGGGTTGCTCACGAGCCTGTGGGAACAAGAGTGTGGGCGGCGAATGTCCTTCGACTGTGGCAGCGGCGATGGGGAGGCGGCCGGGAGTGAGTGAAGCCCTTCCCCCAACCCTCAGAATCCTGCCTGCACCTTGGGATGTCGAGCATGTAGAGGGAGGAGAAGACGGTGGTGGGGAGCATGGACCCCAGGTGCCAGGTGGCTTCTGCCTGCATCAGCTGCATGCCAAGCTGCTCCAGAGTCGCCAGGGAGAGGGCGAGGGGTGCATGCCCCGACGCCAGTTCCTCTGCCAGGCTCGGGCCCTGCTCTCGCCGCAGGCCGATGTCCATCTTGGTGTCCCCAATCTGAATGGCAAGCATGGCCTCATACAGGCTGAAGTCTTCGCCATGCACCAGCTCCTCGGGATGGAGGGCTCCGCAGCCCCGCTCTAGGAAGGCCGTGGCATCCAGCCAGGTGGCCATGGCTTCCGGCGCACGACGGATGAATCAGAGTTACGGATACTGATCACAACATTGCCGAAATGAAAGTAAGTGTGGGGTGACTAAACAGTGATAGACGAAGGCTCAAGACACCAGTCCCGTGCACGACACCTGACCGATGGCCATCTCAAACGATACCGACCGGCATGATACGGATGAAATTGATATTAAGCATATGTATGTTTGCAATTTGCATGCAGTAGATTGCCATGCTTCTCCAGGTGGATCCACGGTGTGTTTGATCGCGCATCGGGGAGCCCTCGCTGCGTCGCGGTGGCACTCAGCTTCACTCTTTCTCCAATAGACAGCTCAGCGGCCGCGGAGCTGCATAGGCATAGCCACTCCCTTAAGTGCCAACCCTGCTCGACGTTCACTCCCCACGGCAGGCCCATTCTTGCATCCAGGTGAGATCAATAAATGGCGTTGGGGGATTAGTAACGCATCGAGACGCCGAGAGGGCCGCAAGGATACCACTACAAGTCACAGATGCAATGGAGGTGTCAGTGGTGTGGAGATCACAATACAAAGGAAGGGAGACGTGCATGACACATACGGAGGGTGGGGTAATAGGGTGAAGGGGGCTGTCCCCAATGCGAGTTTGGCTGCAGTGATTGTGCGGGTTGATGGAAGGCCGGTGGAGATGGGACGCCCGTGAGAGATGATTGTAGTGGAGATGGTGAGAAAGGGACACCTGTCGATCCATGCAACAACGGTTGCGCATGCGGAAGCCACTCGCACGGTACGTCCGAGGGCTGCATACAATGTTGCAGCCCTTTCTTCTCCTCTTGGGTGCCTCGCGTTTGCTCTGTTAGCTCCCGTGCCTGCACGCGCCGGCACATGGGCAACCTCGCCGCCGCGTCCGGCATGAGCGCGTGGGTCCATGGTTCCCTCACCGCGGCTGCCTGAGTCCATGAAAGGGGAGGAATATGGGCTTGAGAAGTATCCAATCATACATTCCACAAGCCTTGAGCTCTCTGACCATCTCGACAGTCGCTCATTGCCATCATGGGTATCCAGAAGACCTCCGCGCTGCTGGTCATGATGCTGCTGTGCTCGGCCATGACCGTGCCAGCTCGCCTACTGGGAACCAAGGGTGAGAAGCAGTACAGCACTGTTCACAAACTTTTTGAGTGATTGTCAACCATTATGTTGGACAGCATGTCACGTCGAGTCTGGGTCCTCGTCGAATGCCGTACCGGCTATGGCGCCCCCCCCCCCGGTACCACCCCGTTCACATGTGATCTCACGGGACTGACCGCTCACAGGGAAATCCGCGACGGCCACCGCGACGGCCAGCGCGCAAGCCCTGGCCAGCGGTAATGGTTCGGCCTTCGCAAGCGCTGCCGCCCAAGCGTCCGCCTCAGGTACTTGGGGACACCCAGTGCCGGTTCTCAGAGCGGGGCTTGCTCGGCAGCGCAGACCAGCATGAAACAGCTCAGCCACTCAGACCCATGCCGAGGGCATGACCGCTTCGTTGACACAGCCCCCATCCTCTTCCCACTTTGAATATCCCAGGTAACAGCGCCGCCTCCGCCCAGGCGGTGGCCCAGGCCATCGGCGGCGGTAGCGCCTCCGCCGCGGCCAACGCCGCAGCCCAGGCGCTGTCTGGCTCCCAGTCCACCGCCACCACCCAGGCGGTGGCCCAGGCATGGACCCAGGGCCTGGCCTCCTGCATCGGTTCCGCGCCCACCGCCACCGCTACCGCCCAGGCCATCGCCTCCTCCCTTCTCTGCGACAGCCCCGCGCTCGCATCGGCCACCGCTCAGGCCCTGGCCTCCGTCTCCGGCACGCCCGCCGGCTGTGCCCTCGCCGGCCAGGCGCTGGCGTCCGCCGCGGCCCAGGCCCAGGCCTCCGGGCAGGGCATGGCCTTCGCCCAGGCCCTCGCCCAGGCCACCGCCTCCGTCACCATGCCCAGCTGCCTCTTCGGCGGGGTCGCCCAGGTGAGGGTGCTGGTCAAGTGTGTTTGCCAGCCGGACTGGGGTTGGATCCCGGGAGGCCCACTGGGTGCCAATATCCACAATGGCATGGTGTACAAAACGCATGGAACTCATGGAGGCCTGGCATGGTCGTTTGATTTGCTCTGACTGCATCCCTTGACCCATATTTCAGCATGCCAAACTCACCACAGTTCCCAATGGCACTTCCACCCCGCAGGCCTCAGCCACGGCAATGTCCTCCGTGTTTGGAAATGGGTCGGCAACGTCAAGCGCATCGGCCACCGCCAGCGCATCCAGCAACGCCTCTGCCTCCGCCAATGCCTCCGCCTCCTCCAACGCCTCCGCCTCCTCCAGCGCCTCCGCCTCCTCCAATGCCTCCGCCTCTGCCAACGCCTCCTCATCCGCATACGGCAAGGGGTCTGCGTCAGCGAGCTCCCAAGCCTCGGCCTCCAGCACCGGTGGCAGGGCCAGCGCGTCCGCCAGCAGCAGCGCCACCGTGTACGGGCGCTGAGTGCCACCCCCAAGCCAGTTACCTGACTGGTCTGGGCTCTGGCCGTGATCAGAGGTATTCTGCGAGGCGAACCCTCCCCATTGTTGAACTTGTTCCTGCAAACTTACACCCTGGCTCCGTCCACCGTGCCCCCCTGCACCTCCCCATGATCCCATCCCAACTGCCCTGTGACGATGTAATAAATCCGAGCAATCAAAAGCAGAGGATGTTGGCAACTCTCTGGTTCAACCCCAGAGTGTCTTGCCAACATGGTAGCTTACCAGTATGCCTACATGGTTTTCCCCATTCAGGAAGAGAATTTATTGGTACTCTGTCGAAATACATTGATGATGCCATCGGCAGGGTTCTGGTCTACCAATCCCCATAATTAAAGCTTGCTCAACTTCTCCCTGCCACAGCGTGCATTCTGGTCGAGCGCGCGCGGAGGGCAGTGCTATATCTCGCCCAAGACAGGCTGCTCATACATCATCCCTGCTGCGATCGAACGATCCATTCTTCAAACTCGTGATCGCATCATTGCATTGATCGTCATGGCTACGTCCTGAGGTCCGGCACGCTCTACTCCTCGTCCACAAGTATGAGTCTGCGTGAAAACATCGCCCGCCTGGTCGGGGAGGGGTACGACCAGCCACAGGGCGATCAGTCCACTCCTTTGAGCATCAATTACGCCAAGATCAATGAATGGATGGTAAGGGCCGAGTCTGTGTCCTGGGATTGCGCTCCCTGCGATCTGAGGGACCCTGCTGTGACAAGTCAGCACACGGGCACCACAGCATTCCAGACTCCCTGATACCCATCCCAGCCCATTCTGTCCCGCTCCCGGGAGGCCCACTGGGTGCCAATATCCACAATGGCATGGTGTACAAAACGCATGGAACTCATGGAGGCCTGGCATGGTCGTTTGATTTGCTCTGACTGCATCCCTTGACCCATATTTCAGCATGCCAAACTCACCACAGTTCCCAATGGCACTTCCACCCCGCAGGCCTCAGCCACGGCAATGTCCTCCGTGTTTGGAAATGGGTCGGCAACGTCAAGCGCATCGGCCCCCGCCAGCGCATCCAGCAACGCCTCTGCCTCCGCCAATGCCTCCGCCTCCTCCAACGCCTCCGCCTCCTCCAGCGCCTCCGCCTCCTCCAATGCCTCCGCCTCTGCCAACGCCTCCTCATCCGCATACGGCAAGGGGTCTGCGTCAGCGAGCTCCCAAGCCTCGGCCTCCAGCACCGGTGGCAGGGCCAGCGCGTCCGCCAGCAGCAGCGCCACCGTGTACGGGCGCTGAGTGCCACCCCCAAGCCAGTTACCTGACTGGTCTGGGCTCTGGCCGTGATCAGAGGTATTCTGCGAGGCGAACCCTCCCCATTGTTGAACTTGTTCCTGCAAACTTACACCCTGGCTCCGTCCACCGTGCCCCCCTGCACCTCCCCATGATCCCATCCCAACTGCCCTGTGACGATGTAATAAATCCGAGCAATCAAAAGCAGAGGATGTTGGCAACTCTCTGGTTCAACCCCAGAGTGTCTTGCCAACATGGTAGCTTACCAGTATGCCTACATGGTTTTCCCCATTCAGGAAGAGAATTTATTGGTACTCTGTCGAAATACATTGATGATGCCATCGGCAGGGTTCTGGTCTACCAATCCCCATAATTAAAGCTTGCTCAACTTCTCCCTGCCACAGCGTGCATTCTGGTCGAGCGCGCGCGGAGGGCAGTGCTATATCTCGCCCAAGACAGGCTGCTCATACATCATCCCTGCTGCGATCGAACGATCCATTCTTCAAACTCGTGATCGCATCATTGCATTGATCGTCATGGCTACGTCCTGAGGTCCGGCACGCTCTACTCCTCGTCCACAAGTATGAGTCTGCGTGAAAACATCGCCCGCCTGGTCGGGGAGGGGTACGACCAGCCACAGGGCGATCAGTCCACTCCTTTGAGCATCAATTACGCCAAGATCAATGAATGGATGGTAAGGGCCGAGTCTGTGTCCTGGGATTGCGCTCCCTGCGATCTGAGGGACCCTGCTGTGACAAGTCAGCACACGGGCACCACAGCATTCCAGACTCCCTGATACCCATCCCAGCCCATTCTGTCCCGCTCCTCCAGCTTGACAGGAAGCTGCTCTGCAGGGACTGGATGTCCCAGCTGCGCGCCCTGCAGGCGGGCGTCGCCGCGGCGGGCGGCGACCCGGCCTCCTATGCCACTGCTCTGGAAAGGGCGGCCGCCACGGGCGTGGATGCAGAGCGGTCGTTGCTGGGGGGGCTCAAGGGCCAGGCCAGGGTGTGGGACAGGCTGGCGCGAGCCTACGAGGCCCGCAAGTGCCACGTGGCGGAGGCCGCCCAGCGCCTCGCCCGCGCCGCAGACTATGAGGCGCCGGCGCTCAAGCGCGGCATGGCCCGAGCGCAGCAGCAGCTGGCGGACCTGGAGAAACGCAAGGCCGAGGCACATCGCGCCGGAGCGCGAGCGGAGCAGGCGTACGCTGACGTGGGTGTGGGGCCAGGGGAGGCTTGATTTTGTGGGTGGGCGGTGCAATATCGATCGTGTGGCCAGGCCCTTGTGTCCTGACCTTCAAGCAGAAGGTGGCATTTGGGGCAAGGCGGGCGGTGCAGGGCAGGTTCTTGCATGGCATGCTGGAGAAGTTTGGTTCGCCGGCCAGGCCCACCTTGGAACAGCCGAGGCAATGCTGGCACCTTGGCTGGTGACAGCATGCCGTCTGGGACAGGTACACTTCTGCACAAGTGAATGTTGGATGTCATGGGTACCTCAATTTACCGCCCACAACCCCCGCAGGAGTGCAAGCGCCTGGACATCTCGCCAACGCAGGACGCGACCGCCGAGCTGCGTGCCCTGGCTTCCCGCCGGCTTCCCGCTGCCCTGCAGGCCTGCGTCGCCGCGATGGTGACGGAGGAGGTCCACGCATCGGTGCAATGTTATGCCGAGTTTATCGCGGCTGACGATAGCGCAACCGCCGCGGAGCGCTCGCTGCCGGTCCTGGTGGAGGTGCTCGCGGGCACCACAGAGGCCCCGCTCTTGCCGAGCATCCCATCCACCGGAGCCCAGGGTGCTGCGGAGGGCGATGATACAGCCGGAGGAGCGCCGGAGGCGGAGGCTGTGGGAGTCGATGACCTTGATCTGTCAGCCCTCGCCTCTGCTGGCGCCAGCGGCGCCGCGGAGGACGCCGGACCAGGCCTCATCAGCTGGGACATCGGCACAGAAGCAGGCGGCGACGACGCTCCACAGGATGCCGCTGGCAGCCCGCGGCCGGCTGGCGGCGACGGCGGGGAGGTCGACCCGGGCATCGACTGGGGCTTGGAGGTGGAGGGCGGCGAGGCGGCCGGCGCGGAGGAGGGCGAGGCAGTCTTGCAGGACCTCTTGACCTCGGCCAATGTGTTCGAGGGATCTGACCCGGTAGTTCAGGTACGGAGATGAGGTCGGTGAGCCATGGGGGTGGAAATGTTTGTCCTGGTAAACTTGTATGCTTGCAAGAGACCCAGCTGCCGTTTTGGCTTTGGGCCTAGGATGCAGGCGGAACCCTTGCAGGCTCAGTGTCCAAATTAGAATGTACACCCAGACCTGACCTCAGAACCCGCATCTCCCCCCACCACTTGCAGCGGCTGGGTTTGGACGGCGCGTACCGCGCCGCCCTGGCCGACGACCTGCACGAGCTCCGCGCTTTCCTCACGGCGCGGCGCGGGGAGCTGCGGGCCGGGAACGTGGGCGCCACGCTGGGTGCGGCCACCGCGACGGGCGAGGAGGCGGCCGCCTGGCTGGCCGCCGTGGAGCGCGCGCTGGGCGCGCTGGGCAGCCCCGACCTGCAGCACCTGCTCCTGCTGCACGGCAGGCCGCAGTACCTGGCCCGCCAGGCGGCCGCCCTGGAGGGCAAGCGGGCCGCGGGGGGAAAGCTACACAGGTGGTTGTAAAGGGGGGGGGGGGGGGGCTTTGATCTTGTTAATGGTGGTAGGGGGGAAGGGGCTGACTCAGGTGCAGAGGGTCTTTTGTTCGCCCGCAAGCTCGCAATGGAGCATCAGGCTCATGCAAACGACCAGCTCCTGGCACCGCATGGTGCACATGCACTGCTGGTACCACCTTGGACCACCTCACATCCAACCCAACACCTCACATCCCACTTGACCTCCTCACAGCGTGGCGCGGGAGGCCGAGGCGAGGAGGGCGACCACCCAGCGGTCCCTGGTGGCGGATGCCGAGGCGCTGGCAGCGCTAGTGGAAAGGATGCGCGGCGACAAGGCACTGGTGGAGGGCGCGCTGGGGTCTGCGCTGCGCCGGCGCGTGATCGTCAGCGGCGAGGTTAACGCCCTCCTGTCTGCATGAGCGACGCCGTGTTGCGACCAAGGTGATGGCTTGTATGCCGCCTCGGCCTCAAGTTTCATGAGCCCCAGGTGTGCTCCTGTGTGGCCTGGCATGCCCAATCCTTACACAGTGTTTGGGACCCTTGAATGCAGTGCTTGCAGATGAGGGCGTGCCTGGTGCGGGAGCTTGCAGCAGACACGACCGATGGCGGGGGGGATGCCTCGTTTGCAGCTCTTGCTGAGGGAGCCTCAGCAGGTTGCGTTGCGGTTACAAGGAATGCACAAGCTGGTACTCGGCGGCAGGCGGGCACACCAAGCCTGGCTCCCTCCCTCCCGCCCCGTCTACCACCAGCAAGGCGGCCTAGGTCGCCACTGCGCCGTCGTCCGCGTACTGGAAGCCGCCGCTCTGCTCGAACTCCAGCATGTCGAGCGCTACGATGCAGCTGTCGGCCACGATGGGCTCGGCGTCCTCGGTATACTGCAGCGCGGTGGAGGGGGGTGGGATGAGGGGCAGGGGATGTTGCTTGAGGAGGAGGGAAGAATGGTTGACCAAGAATGACAGCCAGGGGTTGCGCGAATGCCCCAGCGCAGGCAAAACCCGCTGTACAGGCCTTGTCGATGCACGAGATTACCCCCAAGAGCCGCTCCTAAAACTCCCCACCTGCTGCAGCAGGGCCAGGCAGGCCCGGTCGGCGATGGCGCCCAGGGCCTCGGCGGCCTCGTGCCGGACCATGGCCGCCTCGCCGGCGTCGCCCAGCACCCTTTTGAGGCAGGCCACCGCCCGCGCGTCCTGCATCTGGCCCAGCACGTAGGCCACCTCGTGCTTGAGCAGGGCGGAGCTCGAGGCGAAGGCCCCCGCCAGGGCCTCCAGCGCCTCCTCCCCGCCACGATCGCGCAGTGCGAACAGCGCGCGGTACCGGTCAAAGATACGTGCGCCGTCGTCCAGCAGCGTGGCGGCCAGGGCCGGGGTGGGCGTGGCGGCGGGGGCGGGGGGGGTGGGGTCCACGGACAGGTAGCGCTGGGGCGCGCTGGGGTCGCACGGCTCGTGCCCCTCCAGGAACTCGATACGCTGCAGCGCCAGCTGGCAGGTCTGGGCCACCTCCAGGCAGCCATCCGCGGCGTGGTCGCGCAGGGGCGGGATGCAGGCGGGGGAGCCGATGGCGCCCAGGGCCTCGCCGGCCTCGTGCCGAACCCTTTGTGAGAGGGGCAAGAGGGGAGTTGGTGATGAGGTGGTCTCGAGGCCGCATGGAGGTCAGAGGCACCCCAAGGTGCAGCAGGCGCGCCCTTGCAGCAGCCATGGCCCATGCCTCCTGGCAACAGATACACACCAACACACATGGGCATGGCCAAACAAACACAAGGGAGCCATCCCATGCGCCGGGCCTACATGGGGTGCTCGGCGGTGTCGCGCAGGATGCTTTCCAGGGTCTGGATTGCTGCGGGGTCCTGCCTCTGCCCCAAACAGAATGCTACCTCGTGCCTGAAGAGTGCAGAATCGTCCTCTAGACCTGCGTGTCGAGGGGCGGGGGTTGGGCTTCCGACGCTGCCTCACTTGGAACTCACGAAAACGACGGCATGCTCGACCCCACTCGACCGTCCCATTCGGTTACAAAATTCTTGCCTTGGAGCATGGCAGCATGGGAAGCGTCACCCTTTATGTTCCGGAGGGAAAAGAGTACCCGGTATTTTTGTTGGAGTGAAGTGGTCGGCTCCTTCAACTTGCGGCACAGGGAGGCGACCACCCCTGGGCTCGCCTCATGTGCAGCCATGAGAATGCGTGCAGAATCACAAGGGTCAATGCGCGGGTGATATCATAATTTTTCTAGCCTATTCAATACGAGATGGGTCATTCCGCCAAGCTTGAGGCGGAAGGACGCTCCCCCATGCACCTCGTTCGACAATTGGAGGTGATGGGCGCGCGTGTGCTGGGCATGCTGAGGCCACCGAAAAGACCGCCTAGCAATCCCTATAAACTCAAAAACTTCACGGAGCGTCATGGGTCCATCCTGCCATACAGCCACTCCATCAGTGTTTGGAAGGCGTCCCCCTGGCTCATGTCGTGGGCAGTATCCCGGGCCGGGAGCAGGGAGGGGTCCTCTGTGCCGTTGAACCTAGCCAGATTGGCGTCCAGCTGGGCCTGCAGCAGCGGCCCTGTCAGAGGGTACGAGCTCCAGAGGAAGCGGCGCCACACCCGTCCAATGTTGCGCTGCAGACGCTCGATTTCATCCCGTGGAATGGCCTTCAGTATCTGTGGCAGCCTCTCCACGTCCTTGAATGCCACACGCACTGTGCGGGTTGACGTGTGGGGCAGTGTGGAAGAGGATGATTGCTGGCAGACTGGGGCTGATGCTTGACAATGACAATCAACAGGGCAATGGCAACCTTGAGCCTGACAAAATCAACACATTAAAGGCCCACAATGGGCTGCTCCCAGCCACGAGGCCCTCATCGACACCATGGGCATCCAAGACCTCAGCGCCTCACCCGATATGTCGGCCTCGTTGATGATGGTGCCAAGGGTAGGCGACACATTGTCCATGATGACGACGGGAATGCAGCCATGGGTGATGGCATCCTCGTACCTTGAAGTGTACCCATCGCCTGGGCATTGGGGGGGATGGGGTGAGTTGGAAGCTGGTGTTCAAGGAGGATTGCCATCTGGCAGAAACATCTTGGGTAGGGGGGAATTGGGGCGTGAGGATAGGCAATGTACCCCAGGTAGAGCGCTGACCCACATCATCATGCCAAGACCGCTCCATTCCACCAGAGCACACAGCAAACAGGGCAGGGGCTGCAGCTGCTCCTTCAGTCAGCAGCACCCCACACCTATGATGGCGAGGCAGAAGGTGCTCTCACTCATTAGTTGGAACATCTTGGGTAGGGGGGCACTGGGGCGTGAGGATAGGCAATGTACCCCAGGTAGAGCGCTGACCCACATCATCATGCCAAGACCGCTCCATTCCACCAGAGCACACAGCAAACAGGGCAGGGGCTGCAGCTGCCCCTTCAGTCAGCAGCACCCCACACCTATGATGGCGAGGCAGAAGGTGCTCTCACTCATTAGCTGGCTGTACGATGGCAGTCCATCAAAAGCCTCGTGGTCGCCATACAGGATGCCATGATTGTTAAGCCAGTCCTCCTCGCGGGACACAAGTGCGATTTTCTGTCGTACCCCCTGGGAGTAGGGCAGATTTTTCATCTGCGCCGGGGGAGGGCGAGTGCTGAGTAGGGCTCGTCCCTCGGCAGGGCCGGCTCTGCAGTGCCAGGAAGGCGGAGTGGCGCGCCTCACCCCTTGCAGCACGCCTTAGAGCTGCCCGGGAAGGAGCTACTACCCTCACTCGATGGGGACCCTTAGTCTCCCGGCCACTCAGGAAACCCCCCACGTTCACCTGCAGCCGGCCCTTGAACAGTGCCAGCCACTTCCTGTGCACCGTGGGGTTGCCCATGAGGGGGGAGTGGGCATGGAAGTGCGAGTTGTGCAGGTCCGGCAGTACCAGGTCTGCGCAGAGGAATCGTGTTCAGACGGTTGGGCTGGCATGGGGTGAAGCGGGCCCGGGAGAGGGAACCGGATTGCATGCCTCCGCGCGTGTGCAACAGCATGCCTCTCCACCCCTGGCGCCACCCCTCAACTCGCCCTTCTCCGCGTCAAAGCACGGGCCGCGGTTGATCCGGTGGAGGTGGCCCTTGGGCAGCCAAAGCGGGTCATGAGCCTCCACCGAGTAGTTGTCTGGGGCTGCAGTGCACGTATGAAGGGATTTGGAGCCGAGTTGGAGGAAGGGTGGAAAGCAAGTCGCCCAGGCATGGCAAACCAGTCTCTCTGGCCAATTGAACATCCAGCTTGCAGCGTCTGGGGTTTGATCCTGTTGTCCAGGCTGTGGGGGAGCAGCACAGCCCACTCCACCATGCTGCTGGGGCCTGGCTGACCAGAATACATATCCAAGAGCGAAAGACCGCCACTGAGAGCTGCCACCCCCCCTCCAGCTTCCATGCCAAGCACCGGGCTCACCATGGCCCGTCCAGCTCGTGTGGTTGCTGTCCTGGCGGCCCCAGTGCGAGAGGATGATCGCGGAGCGGAGGGCCTTGGGCACGTAGCAGGAGGCTTCGTCATGCGGCACATACTGCACAGAGGGGACCCATGGGGAGGAGGATCACGGGAAAGGTACATGTCTCTGTGGCAGGCCTAGCCTGCAACGCGGGAGACCATGCAGGCGCATGAATCTAGATCTCCTGCCTGCCCATGCCACTGTGCCCGCGCGATTGCCCAGGTCCATAGGGACAGCCGGGGAGCCGCAGGCTGGCCCTCCAGCACGGCATGCGATCAATCCTCCCCCTCCCCGGCACGCACAATGATGTGGTCCCTCCCGCCCTTCCGGTCCCAGTAGGGGTAGCGTGACCGGAGCTGGTGGTACGCCTCCTCCATGAAGCCTGTGGCCTGGATCGTCCGGCCCGGGACTATGGTGCGCAGCGGTGGGATGCTGGGCTGAGAATGAAGGTGGGCTGAGACCTGGCGACGTGTGGCCCACGCCCAGGGCATATATGCACGCCCATCCCTCTCCAGAACATGATGAAGAATACAGACAATCCCGTCGAAACCCAGCCCAGCTCACTTGGGCCATAATAGAAGGGGCCGTCCCCCCAGGTCACCACCGGCTGAATATAACATGCGGTGTAGAGCGGGACGTAGAAGAAATCGGCTTCCTGATATCGTGGAGCAGAGAGGGGGGGTGGTGGGTTGTTGGCAGCCTGTTGCCGGAGGATTCATTGTGAGGGGGAGGGCACAGCAAAGGTAAGGGAATGTCAGGGCTTTCTGCACTGCCACCAGGTCCCCACCTCAGGGTCTAGGGTGCGATGGGAGCTCTGCAGCATCATCTCATGCAGCCCCATCTCCAGCTGGTATACCCTCACAGCCTCCACGGTCGAGTTGTCATCGCTGAAAGTCCGTGTGACACAGTGGTCCCTGCAGTGGGGAGAGGGGCTTTGCAGATGATGCAAGGAGCCTCGGCCCAGGATGTCACCGTGAGGGAGCAGGGCAAGTGGGAAAGGAATCCGAGACCAAAGTCAGGGCCAAGTCACTGAGAGCACGGCCTTTGCAGATAGATACCCGGCTCTGGAGCCCATGCATGTCCGGGCATGCCCGCACAGTGAGCGCTGAGCAGGGCAGGCCCGCCCAAATCAAGTGCCCCACCCCTCGCAGCATGGCTAGCAGCCAACCCAGCGCCCACCTCTCGACCCTGTACTGCAGCATGAGGCTGGAGTAGTCGGTGGGTAGCTCGTACACCCAGATGAGGGGCCGGAGGCGAGGTCCCCGCGCCCCTGGTTCTCGTGCGGCAGGGGTGTGGACAAACTGTTTGATCCAGGGCCGGGTGGAATTCTCCATGCCTGCACTTGTGGGGTGATGGGGCAAGAGGCTGGAGGGGGGAGTGGATGTAGTGTTCAATCCTGCATGGCCTGGCGCCCACATCGATGCGGCCCACGGCTGTGCATCAGGGTGCGCCAGGCTCCGAGCATGCAAGCCAGCGTGCCTGGCGAGTCCGGCACGCCCTGCACCCGGTAGGCGCAGTCCTGGCCAAACCAGCCATCCTGGCACTTGCAGTACCCCTGCTGACACTCTCCGTGACCTGGCGGGGGAAAGTGGGAGCTTGAATGGGAGGAAGCCTGGCATTCCATGGGTCCTACACCTGGCCGGGCCGCTTCCCAGCATGCCTGCTCTCCTCAAAGCTCACCATTGCACTGGTTGGGGCAGGTTTGCTCGGTTGGAATGTTGCACAGGGGGCCACCAATGCCATCCTGCCAACAGGGGGGGGAGCTGGGCAATCATGACCTCAAACCTGCATGTTCTGGACACGGCAAGCCTATGAAAGGAATGGTGGAGAGAAAGAGATGGGATGGGGTGGGCTATCTCAACAGGCCGCAAGGCCCGCCCTTCATTCTCAACGCCAGGATTCCATGACAAAAACAGGCAGCCCCAGGGAGATGGGTTCCCCAGCACACAATGCATTCCCTACTCGACGGAGCAGCCCCTCGCTGCCACGTTCCGCAACCCTCGCACCTTGAAGCAGGAGCAGCGGTGCTCCGGTTCCTCTGCCATGCACCACCCCTTTGCGCCGTACAGCCAGTCCCGCTCTGTCATCCCGAAGTTGATGGGCTGGTTCTCCTCATCCTGCATTGCGAGGCGCCAAGGAAAGGAACATGGTCTCCTTCTCATCTTGGTCAGGATCGCTCAACCCCTGCCTGGCCACGAGTCCACCCCTCACTTATCATAGCATACAGACCATCCACCTGGCTCGATGGTCTCCTGAACACGATGCACGCATGGCAGGCTCTCGCCCCACCTTGTTTGGCTGGCAGGCATGACCCATGGGCCGGCCCACTCTGATAGGGGGGGTACCTGCGAGGGAGCATGCCGACCAGGCGCCTCCTCGGACCGTGGGGATCAAAGTCCAGGGCAACAACGCTTGGATCCCTCCCCTGCACCGTGCGCCACTGGAAAACATCAAGGGAGGATCCTACCAAGGCTGCACATGGGAATCCCTGAGTCCGCTAGAGACTGCATCCCACATCACAGCCGAAACACTGGCCTGGGCTCCGTTTTCTCCCATCTGAACCTTCTGGCAAGCACATATTTACCAGGTAAGGAGCCCTCCCCTGCTGGGATGTGGCCAAAGAGCGTGTGGGAGGGGCAGTAGCACATCCCCATGTCCTTGTCGCAGGCGCCGGAGCACATGGCTGCCTTGCTGGACCAGAAGGGGTTGTTGGGCGGGCGATAGGCCGTCAGGTTCTCCGGTCCAGGGTCAATCTGCTCCAGACCCCAGCTACGCGGCTTGTTGGTGCAGGGGCGGCGCAGGCGGATGTGGCAGCCATCTCCGGTCCAGCCTGGAGGTTTGGGGAGGGGGTGCGGGGAGGCAGCACCGGTCCAGGTGGAGGATCTGCTGGTTGAGCGGCAGGGAGGTATGGAGCACCTGCCTCTCGCAGGCTCAGCCGGCTGCCAGTCCCCCACCCACTCACCCATGGGGCACTGGCAGAAGCCGGCCGTCGCCACGCAGGTCCCGACATGGTTGCAGTCCAGAATGCATGACTTGTTCCCTCTGGGGAGGGCGCCGGAAGGAATGGGCTCCTGGGAGTGGTATGCAGGGCAGCCGCGGCCCTTCAACAGGGCACAGGCTGCGCTGTAGCCCGTGTCCCCATCAGCCCGCCCAAAGGTCAAGGAGAGCGACTCCACGGCTGTGGACACCCTCCTGTACCCCAGCGCCTGCGCCGGTGATGAGGCAGGGAGGAAGTAGGTGGATCGAGTCCAGCGCAGGTCCACCCCGCACTTCCAGTTTCCCCCGCTCACAATCGAATCGCGGGCCTGTTGGAGCGAATTATACTCCTCGACCACCAGTAGACGGGGTAGGGTCATGTAGAAGACATAGGTGCACGCTAAGAGAAGAATTCCGCACGCGAAGATCCTGCGGCGCCGGACGCCGCCCTGCAAGGCCATTATAGGTCGAAGGATGACAGAGGATGTTCAGACCAGTCTTATGTTCGGCGCATCAGAGACACATTCTGCATTTTAAATACGTATAGGTCCATAGGCCCTCGTGAGCATCTAGCTTTTCCGGCCAGGGTTACGACGGTCGCGTGCGGCGCCCATGTGTAAGGGCTCCTGAAAATCAAACATATATGCCTGGCAGTACCACCTGCTGTGCAGCATGCTGCTTACATGGACCGTGGTCACCAAAGGGGACGTCGCAATGATGTCTTACAAGGATGTTGGACGCATTTGGCAGCACGCAGTTTCTAGGCCAGCAGGCTCCACTCTGCAGCTCTATTTTCTATGCACCATGGGTCGGGGCTGCTGGGGTCTTTGGTCCTTTCCAAGCCATGCCTAACAGCACAGGGTCTCAAGAATTCTAATATTTCCCTTTGTACTGATCCCCTGCCGTGACGTGCGTCGATGCCCGATGGGAAGCTGCTGTTCAATGCCATTCTAATGACAGGTCACGTTTTGGAAGTAGTTTCTCCTACGACATGCAATGTCGATGGATTTTGTAGAAACCTCCCTGAAGTGATGAGCATTCCTCGGACCTCGCTATATCATACCGTGAACCTCGGGTGCCTATGCACACTTTTGGGACCATAGATCTGCCATGAATTCCTTGTTGAAGCCAAGCCTTCTGTTTGCATGCCCCACCTCCTCTCTCCGGACCCCCCTTGCATCACCGAGACTCCGGCTGCCTTCCCCCGCGAAGGCATGCAACGATTCATGTCTAGATCTATCGATGGGAAGCAGATTGGTGCGCTACGCATGAGTGTTCAAGGCCATGCATTGCATCGAATCGGCTGGTCCTCGATCCACCGCAGGTCGCCCTATTCACCATGCGAGCCGCAGAGACCACGGCCAGACCTCTCACCACCGTTCCCAGCTGGTCTGATCTGGAATCAGGGGTTGAGAGGGCTAGAGAGCAGCTGAGCTTCCCGGAACCCGACTATGAAAATGGGCCGGCAAACTCGTACGCCGTGAGGCGCCTGTTCGGACAGCCTGGCCCTCCAGAGATCAAGCTCTACCGGGACCATGCTGCCTGGTGCCCGTACTGTCACAAGATTGTGCTGCAGGCGAGAGCCTGATTAGGTGGTGGGTGTCTTGCTTGGCTCGTGCAAGGCCATACTACGGCAGCGGACATGCAGGATCTGTCTAAGAGAAACGCATGGCGGTACAGAGCAGCCCATTTCTACATGAGACTGCAGCACCTAGGTGCATACCCTCTCCAACACTCCTCCTGTGCACAGCTGGAGGAGAAGAGGATCCCGTACACCATCGAGAAGATCAACATGCAGTGCTATGGGGACAAGCCTGCCGAGTTCTTGGCAAAGGTGGGTGGTGCAGATGCCTCCAGGTTCTGTCATGCTACTTGGACGGGCGTTTGTGTTCTTGGGCAACCTTGGAACGGGGACAAGGATCCTATCGTATTTAAACTCAGTCATTGTCTCCTTGTTATCGCAGCCCATGCCCTGCCCATCCCTTCCTTCCCAAGCCCAGGTCCCGTCTGGCCTCCTCCCAGTCCTCGAGGTGGGGGGCAGGGTGTTCACTGAGTCGGCCGTGATCCAGGAAGTGCTGGAGCAGCTCTACCCAGAGATTCCCCTCCTGCCCCAGCCTGGGACCCAGGAGCATGGCCGGGCCGCCGGGCTCATGCGCTTGGAGCGGCGCCTCTTCTCCGACTGGCTCCAGTGGCTCTGCCGCGGCGGGTGGTGGGTTTGCTGGGAAGGCGAGGGGAGGGTGGGGTGGGGATGACTTTAGAAAGCTCTGTCTCAGCCATGCCCTCCCAGGGAAATCGCGAGGTTCGGGCACCTCCCCAATGGACCGCCGGTGTGCTGAAACCCTCGCCTGCCATGCGCAGGCAATACCAGAGGAGGCCAGAGCGTCCGTGCAGACAGCCCAGCCACACACGTCACTCCCTCCTATTCTCACAAATCTCAGGAACGTACAGGGCAACCGCAGGGCCTTCTGCAAGACCATGGAGGCAGTGGATGATGCGCTGCGTGCCACGCCCGGCCCCTTCTTCCTGGAGTCGGGCCTGAGCCTGGTGGACCTAACCTTTGCGCCCTTCCTGGAGCGCATCGCCGCCTCCATGGTCTACTACAAGGGTTTCGTGGTCAGGGGACAGGTGATATTACAGGGACGGGCAGAGTTTCGGGTTCTGTGGTGACAGTGTTTCCTGTTGATCACATGCAAGAGCTGGGATGGCCTGGGTCATGCCATGGATGCCAACCCTGTTGCAGTTGCTTCCTTTCTTTCACAACTTCTTGTGGCCTGTTGAGGCCACCTGGGTACCCCTTGCCAGCCTCGAAATCCACATTCTTCCGACCACCAAGGCCAGCCATTGTCCCTCGCCACGCAGGGGAGGTGGCCGGGGATCGATGCCTGGTTTGAGGCCATGGAGGCCCGCGATTCCTACCGCGGGTTCAAGTCGGACTACTACACCCACTGCCACGACCTGCCGCCCCAGCTGGGAGGTGCGTGCATGGAGGAGTTGGAGGAAAGGATCCTCGGTTGACCTCTCCAGTGCAGGGCATCCTTCTGCTTGGGCCTGTGCCTTCCCAATGAAGCACTCAGCCGCCATGTGTCCAGCCTGCACAGCAGCAGCCCCCATCCCTTCTCCTGCCCATCCTGCTAGGGTGCACATCGGAGCGGGGCAGCGAGGAGGCCGCGGCAGCGATAGACGGCGGCGCGTGGAGGCTGCCCCTGCAGCCCCTGGCCGCCGACTACGCCTACGAAGCCCACAGCCCAGGTGCGTGTGCAAGGCTTGATGGAGTGTGCAGGATGATTCGTGCAGCATGCTATGCCCGCGGACACACTGCAGCCGATCCTGGGGGCTCCCCCAGTGCAGCCCGGGTCCCATGGCCCTCGTCCTCCCACCCCCAGTCCCGCGCACTCCGCCTTCATCCCATGCATGCCCAGGGGACGATCCTGAACGCGACGCGCTGACCGCGGCGGCACGGCTCGTGTCCAACAGGGCCGCCGTCGTGCCCTTTGCGCTGCGCGGGGCCAGCCAGGGGGCGCGCAGGACGGCCAGGGCACACCTGTCGGACCCCGGGAGACCGTCGGCCCAGGACCCCGACGGCGCGGTGGATGCAGGTGAGCCACCTTGCGCCTTGGCGCGGAGCGAGGACTGCATCTTTCCTTGGACCTAACCTGGCAGGCTGGTGCTTGCAGCCGCTGGGGCCTGGCATCCTAGTGCTGAGCCTTGGTGCCCCACCCCCCAACCCCAACCCCACCCCCAACCCCCCATCTGACTCTGCAGCGCTGCGCTGCGTGGCGGGCGCCCTTCTTTCTGGTACGGAGACGGCTGCCGCCCCCGTGGCGCCATCTGAACAGGCCGCAGACACCGTGAGGCAGTCCCTCTCCTACATGCGGGACCGGATCTGCGTACCACGGGATCTGCCGCTGCCGGCCGCCCGGCAGCTCCGGGCCCACCTGAACTGGGCCATAAATGGTCTCATTATGCATGGTTCCGCATGAGCAGCAGGTCTATGGGAGGGCCCTGCTCCTGAAGGTGCTCCTTGTGCTGTAATGACTGTAGCTCCAAGCAGATGCCTTTTCCTAGTCCTTACTCGATATGATAGATGAAAGATTGCAATTGTAATCATACTTAGTGAAGACTGCATGGCCCCGTGCCAGAATCAGGCCTGCAATCTGTCCCAGGACATCAGATCACATCAGGATGGCCGTCTCCATCCCTTGGGATGCTGTGATCGCAGATGTCAAGCCTGGAGACATCTCCTGCTCGTGGCAGCAAGGATGTGCCATCATAGTGTGTGGCACAGGAGAGTCTGCCTCGGGCTCAGTGCTGGCCTGAGTCTCATCGTACTCCACATCTGAGCTGGAGCTGCTTGATCGATTGACTCCCTGCACAGCACAGGGACGGCTAGAGCTTAGGCAGGGTGGGCAGCCACCTGTCTCAGATGGTATGCCTATTGATCATGGTGCAAGCACCCAGTGTGACAAACCAGGACTCTGCTTGCCGTAGCATGGCAGGCTTCCATAGCGTCGCGAGATATCATGGCGTCGCTGTCCAGAGACAGTGGCTGGACCTGTGCATGCTGCTGGCGCAGAGACCTTTGCCTTGCTGCTCTCGCCAGCCTCGTCTGTTCCAGGTGGGCACCTTGTGCCTGGGATGCAGCAGCCTCTCCGCCCTCCACCCTGCGATGGGACGGCTAAGCATTGTGATGGAAGCAGCTGAGCACAATTATTCCCAGGAACTTGGGTCAGGTGAAGGGCCTTCCTCATTTGCTGGGAGCTGTTCTGCCTGGAACGAATCTGGCTGCCAGGGGCGTGGGGACTTGCAACGGCTCCCTACCACTTGCATCGATCATTCATGTGCAGAGTCTCTACCCGCCCTCCCAGCTCTGCAAACCCATGCACACGACTCAGTTGCCAGACCCAGCATTTACCAGTCATACATCAGCTTCCACCGCACCATGCCTCCGCAGTTGCTCGCTCCAGGGGCATGATGGGTCGCTTATCCAGGTAGGCCAAGTGTGGCAGGTTCCCCACCACCCTCTTCCTGTACGCAGCAGCCTTGGTCACACAGGGGTTGCCGCTCAGGTACAGAGCCCTGAGCAGGGGTAGCTGCCTCAGGATGCACAGGAGGTGGTCCATGTCATCCAGGCGGTTGCTGGAGAGGTCGAGGGTGGTGAGGCCGGGGAAGGTAGCTAGGGCATCCAGGTCTCCGGCCAAGTGGTTGCCGGACAGCGTCAGGGTTTCGAGGCGGGCGTTGCTCCCCTCCAGCCCAGAAAGGGAGGTCAGGTGGTTGCAGCAGAGGCTGAGGACCCGCAGGGAGGGGAGGGCGGGGAAGTCGGCAAGGCTGCGCAGCGAGTTCTGATGCAAATACCTGTCATGGATGAGGGAATGGCCATGGCGCATGACCGGGGGGTGAGGGCTGGAGGAAGAGTAACTCGATGCCCTGGTTGATATTGAACTAAGAATGAAGCACATCGCTCATCGTATGGAGCAGATGCACCGCTGCGCCGCCTTGCCATCATGCTCCGGCATGGGTGTCCGAAGGCACAAGTTGACTCACAGACATGTCAGGTGGGGAAGTGGCGGCAGACCTTCCAAGCTCTCCAGAGAGTTGTTATCGGCGAAAATGGTTTTCAAATTCACGTATGGCTCCAAGCATGCCAGCTTGAATATTCCCGAGCTGCCCAGGTACAGGGTGTCGTTTAGCTCCGGGGTGACGAACAGATCGTGCCGCCGACAAATGTCGCGCAGGCTCGCAGCTGTCATCTGCATACTCGCAAAGAATAAATGAGCTGAAGGGATATTTCTCCAGGTGAATGGGCTCTGCTATGGGTGGGTGTCAACCTGTGTCGCCGAACGTGGTGGATGAAGAGATGATCTGTTGTGGTCCCGGTCAACTGAGCGTGAACTGAAGCAAGCAAACGTGATGTTCACATCAGGTCCAATGCTCCCAAAAGCGCAGTCTCTCATACGCTTTAAATTTTTTCGATTTAATTGCAATATTCACAAAGGTGCTAGGATGTATTTTGCTTTGGGGCAAGCTCTGTCCAGAAGGGTCGCATACCTTCCTGACGACAGATGCCAGCTTTAAGTCGCAGCAGTGGCAAGACATACAACATGCGCATCTTGAGATGGTACAAATTTCCCTAAGTGATACCGCTGTAGAAGTACGCCCACGTCCAGGTTCCCGCTGCGTTGTCACTGCTGCAGTTTGCATTGTGTGTGCAACTTTGGTTGCGGGGGTCCTAGAGCGCGGAGATCATTTCCGCTCGTGCTCAACAGGGCCCTTCTGTGAACGATGTCGGGTGGATTTTCCAGCTGGAGAGCGTCATTCGTCTACTTCACGCGCCATATCATACCTTGATCCCACTTTCGCGTAGTTCCCTGGACGGTCAGCGGGATTGGGTGGTGGCCTTGGCCCCTCCCACTCGTAGCCTCCGGGCTTCATGTCACAGAGCGACACTGTGAAGCTGATCAGTGCGGACGGTTTCGAGTTCATCATCAGCAGGGAAGCGGCCTATGTGAGCAACACCATCAAGAGCATGCTGGACGAGCAAGGTGAGGTCCGAGACCTAGGAAGGCCGGTGCAGTTCCAGGCTATGGTCACCCTCTGTGAATGTTCGAGAGACCCTGAGAGTGCAGATGTTCATCCCACTACGTGATTGATCCCTCTCAGGAGGATTCATGGAATCCGAGACCAACCAAATCACGTTCCCTGGCATCTCCGGTGCGGTCCTGGAGAGGCTCTGCCAGTACTGCTACTACAAAGTCAAGTACCTGCACACGTACGATACCTGAGGGGCATGGGCAAGGGCACTCTTTGTGTCTGCAGATCTGGCTTGTGATTGGCCGGAGGGTGCGGGAGCCTGGTCCTCCTGCCTACGCCCACCGCCACTCGCACTGGCCTGCTGCTTTCGCCTGTTGCTGTCCTCTCCTTGCCGCACATGCATCGACGCATTTCCCCCACACTGCAGACCCAGCACGGCCATCCCAGAGTTCAAGGTGCACCGTGACATGGCGCTGGACCTGCTGATGGCTGCCAACTACCTCGACATGTGACACCCAGCATACGATATGTTGGCCTGCCGAGACCCCAGCGCACACGGACTTTGCAAGGAGCTTGCCCGCCCCCCACGGCACCGCTTCCTACTTCCCAGCAGCTGCATGGTGTCTCGTTTCGTTTTTATTGTCACGATGGATGTGTGTGCATGTGATGTACCCTGGGAGGACAAAACACCATGGTCTGAGCCTTGTGGCAGGAACAGGATAGGTTACGGCTCCTGTGAGCGTAGTAGCATGCCACTCTGCCATCGCCACCCCTTGCCTTCCCCATACAAAGGAAGGGCTGTTCTGGGTTGCCCTCAGATTGTCATTGGCCTCACCAGGCACCCACTCGCCCGCAGACCGCGTGGCAGGTGCCTCATGCCCCCCTCCGGCCTCAGATGGCGGCGAGACGGGTGTGCGCGCCCTCATACACAGAGAAGATGACGGCGTTGACGAGCAGTGCCCGGCCCAGCGTGGCCGGCAGGCCCCGGAAGAAAGCGCGCGGTCCCTCGCGGGCGGCCATGTCGGCGGCGATGCGCCAGGCGCCCGGCGCCGACGCGTCGGCGTGCGCCTGCAGCCGCGACTTGACCACGTCCAGCGGGTACACGGCGAGCCAGGCCGCGAGGCCGGCCGCCGCGCCGGCGGCGAGCACGCAGCCGTGGCCGGGCAGAGCGTCTGCGGTGGATGTAGGCGGCGCCGCCACGCTGCCCGAGGACTCGCAGGCCCTGCGCACCGCCTCGAAGGTGCAGAAGTAGGCGGCGAAGGACGGCACGTCGCGCGCCGCGGTCATCCCTGCGCCGAGGTACAGCCCTGCTTGGAGGTGGGGAGGAGAGAGTGCACATGTTGTGGGCTCCCAGGGGTGTGTTTGTGGGTGCGAGAGAAGGGATCATTGGAGTTGAGGAGGACACGCCATGCATGAGCGGGGCTGGGTGGTTGCTGGGCCAGAGGTGGGCACCCTGCCCTCCAGTCCTTTGACCCTGGGCTCCGATGCGCTCCCGCCCCACCCGCACTCTCTGCAGCCCCTTCAGTCCCCGGCAAGGAGGCAAGCAGGGTTCCCAAGGCACCCACCCGATATGCCCTGGCCTCGCCAGATGCGGAGCGCCTGGTCCAGGGCCCCCACGTAGCCGGGGCTCCCGCGCGCGGCGGTCTGGAGCTGCAGTCGGATCTTGAGCAGCTCCACGGGGGTGCACACCGCGGTCTGCAGAAAACCCGCGGCAGCGCCGGCGGCCGCCACTCGGCCCAGCGGCAGCGCACTCTCCGCACCGGGGTCGACACCGTCTGCTTCGGCCTCCAGGCACCGGCAGGCCGCCCCGTACGTCTGGAACACCAGTGCGTTTTGCAGGGCGCTGGTGAGCAGGGGGTAGGCCATGCCGCGGAACAGCGCGCGGGGCCCCTCGCCAGCCAGGATCTGGCGACCTCGGGTGGGCGGCGCGGCGCCCGCCCCGCCGCCACCCTGGCGCTGCTGCTGGCGGATGCGGACATTGTCCAGGGGCTGGCCGGCCACCACGCCGCTGAGGCCCGAAACCCCCCCTGAGAGTGGGAAGGGGATTGAACGGGGTGGGCGCGCAGCTCCCAGGTCTTTTGCAGTGTGTAGGGCACCAGAGATCAAGGATTTGCACGCAGAGCAAGGGTCCCACCGGGACTGGCCAGGCTCACCCGCCAGGAAGTCACGAGTGGAAGCACTCAGCGTCAGAGCTGCGGGTTGCAGCGTCTCCTCCATCCCGCCGATCGACTGATCTCGGGAGGACGCGTATGGCCTGGTCGGGCTGAGACGTCATGGCCGGGTGGAAAGCGATGCTGGCATAGCGATCCGCATTCGAGGCTCAGTACTTATCAGCAGTAGGTATATATTTCCCTGTCGTCTCGACGTCGGGCAAGGTGTGGGACGGTGGCAGGCGGGCAAAGGGAAGCAGAGCCTCTGCTATTCCTACAAAGTGACCGCAGTGCCCCTCGTCCGATGGATCTAGACTAACTTATCATTCATTCTATCGTTCTTACATGCCTCTCTCTGCGCTCGAAATCGAATATGTACCGCCTGACCATGGGCGATCAGCTTCCGGACATTCGTCCGTCGAGGGCCGGAGTTTCGGAGAGACCCGCGCCTCCACCTTGGCCCTCGACCAGATCGAATCCTTCCGTGTGAAGGGCTACAATGAAAGTAGGATACTCCACAACCTCCTTTTTCTTCAGCGCGGCCTCTAATGTGGCGTTCCGGTCGATCCGGTAGTATAGCGGAGAGTTTGCCTGTAGATTGGAATGCCCAAGAGCGTGTTGGCAGGATGCCCTTCGAAGGTAATATGAGAGGATAACACTCGGAATCTCCATGCACCGCTCATTCAACCTGCCCCGGAATCGACAAGATGACGCCACCCACCGGAGTTCCATGCTTCTTGAGGAGGATCAGCTGACTTTGCCTGTCAGCATCAATGTATGCCTGAAGGGCGCTTTTGTCTGGAGAGGAAAGAGATGCGCTCAAGGACGCCAGGTGCTGATCCAGGAGATCACCTACGACCACACTCTCCTTCACCCTGTGCAGGGATGCTGTGCAGAGGTAAGAAGACTTTCGGCGCCTGAAGACGAGCACATCTGCAGGCCATTCCCATCCGGTTCCGACGCAACATGTGTCGCAATCCCTGAAGCAGATATCTATCGTAGGAGCGACATCAGTACTGCTGTCCCACTCACAGGGAAGCTAAGGGGGGGGGGATAACGCTACGATATCATGCTCCTCCTAACATATCACACCGTATCACCTTGCGTTCACGGGCTTGAAGTTTGGTGCAGATTGAAACTTCCATTCCAGTCTCCACTCCATGATGCCTTGCTTAGGATTATACCGCGTTGTGTTGGTCTTCCTGGCGGCCATGCCCATGGGCAGGAGGTGCAGCTCTACCCCTCGCCTGCGCAGCGGTGTATCATCAGGTTGTCATGGTGATCAGTCATCCGTTACTCCAGAGCGCTGGTCGTCAATGCTGCCATGTACTTCCACCGCTCCGCAAATCACACCCAGCACATGCCAGCACCCTCTCACCTTTTTGCCTGTTGCAGCAAGGTCTGCAGACCCCTGGGCAGCAGCATGGCAGGCCTGGCGGGGGCTGCCCTCTTTGCCACCTCGTCGGCTAATTGCACCTCCTCCAAAAATCTGAGATCTGCATGGTGTGGAAAGAGAGGTCGGGGTTATCTCATACAAAATGTGAGCATGCTTGCAAGCCCTTGGCTCGCACTCAGTCACATCTCGGTGCAATAGATTTACCTGACAACAGGCTCCGCTCATCCAGCTGCGCACGACCGAGGAAGGCCGTCCTGTCGCGTTTCCCAGAGCACCCTGATTGCTGCTTGTGTGCTGCAGTAGGGGCCCAGGGTTGAGAGGATGGGGTGACAGGCAATCTACCCAATCACTGGACGTGCTCCCTGCCCTCAAACATACCAATCCGCCTTACAGAATCTACCTTTCACGCATTCCAAGCTGCACGACCGGGTGGTGCAGCGGGGGCAGCGGTACTTGGCCAGGCCCTTCCCACACGTTGCACATGACCCGGATGCCTGGTCCCGCTCCGTGGCACCGTCTGCCTCGGCCATGTCAGGACCGAGGCGGGAGTACGGCCTCCTCGGGTGCGGTGTGGCGCACCAGTCCCCGCACCGGTCGGTATATCGCAAAGTACGCGAAGCCTGAAGCCAGGGCGCCCCCGAACAGGGCCACGGCGCCGTAATGATACAGGAGGCTGCGCTGTGTGGGCCTGAAAAACATGTCGGAGGTTTTTTTAAATACGTGGGTAGGTTTCGAGTTGGCATGCGGGTCAGTAGAGTAGGAGGAACCATCACGTAAAGTTGTGTATATTGAGCGCGCGGTAGCGCGCTCGCCCCTGGGTCCCCTTCCCATGAGTGCACATTGTGTTTCTCACCCACCAGCCTGCCATGGCACCTGCCTGTCCTCGGGGCAATGTTGTGGGTATCACGATTTACATATGTAATCAATTGCACGGGCTCTGTGGCACACCACAGAGGTGGGAGTCCCAGTGCTCGAAAGAATCAATTCATTTGGGCTCCAAGCATCGGCTCCCAAAACATTGGCTGGCCCTAAGAATCAGGCACAGTCGTAAGTCAAGCAATGGGCGGCGGTGTGATTGTAAGCAATGCTGGATGGCCTGGAATGGCGGCCGACCATGTTCGAAAGGGAACCCAGCCTCGGTGCGGCCGTCGCACCCACCCGCGGGTCAGCGCGGGGGCACCTGCCCCCCCGCCCTCACTCTTCGCCGAGCCTCAGAGCGCTCCTGCGAAGCGGGGCCGGGGGGGGCCGCGCCTCCTTCTGCCACTCCCGCAGCGTGCCGTTGCCGAGGTCGGGCCGAAACTCGGTGGCGCAGAACCCCTGTGAATTCACCGCACAGCAGGCGGGCTGCAGCGGGATGCGGTCGGCGGCGGGCCTCGCCTCCGCCAGGCTGGCGATGGCGCCCTCCAGCCCCTGCTCGACCAGCAGGGCAGCCCTGGCGGCCAGGTGCTCCGCGTGGCGGCGGCTGAAGCCCAGGTCCAGCGCGTTACGGAGGCCGTCCTTCCCCCCGAGCTTCGCCAGGCAGGTGGGCAGAGCGCCGGGGAAGGCCGTGCCCACCGCCCCGCCAGCCGCGTGGCAGCGGTAGTCGAAGAATGCGAGCGGGGAGGGCCTGACGTCTGGGAGCACATTCTTCTGGAAATGGCGCTGGGTGGCCCAGCCAAAGCCGTTGATGAGGATCTCGTGCTTCTGCGAAGGGGGTGCGCAAGGGGGGGGCTGGTGAGCAGGAGATGGACTGGGGTTGAAGAGAACAACCTCCTCCTGCACAGCGCCATTGCAGTCATGCCATCCTCTTCATATCTAGACGCCAGGACCTCGGGATTTATCTACATTTGGGCGTCCGAGGGCAGCCCGCATGCGCCGAGCGTCTTGCCTCCAGCCCCAGCCTTGCCCTTGATATTCAGTGGAACCGGAGCCCCGGTGCCTCAGGCCAAGGCCTTGGTCTCCCATGTTCAGACAACCGCCCCCCCCCCAACCCCCTCCTCCCTTAGACCCACCGTGCAGCGGGGGAGGAAGAATGATTCATACAGGCAGCCAGGGATGTTACCCTGGATCTGGTCATTGTCAATGAGCGTCATGCGCCCGTCATCTGTCACGAAAACATTGTCAGGGTGGCGATCGCAGTGCCCCACCAGCAGGTCGAAGATGGCGGCCTACAGGGATGGAAGGGGATTGGGAGCGTGGGAATCAGGAGGCTCATGGGAGGGTGGGAATCAAGGAGGCAGGGCAGCAAAGAGTGCCAGGGACCCGTGAGAGGGACGGGCGTCATGGACCCCAGGGCACGGAAAGCGAGACCCAGGGGCCGCGCCAAGGTGGTGACACATGAATAGCTGCGTGATGAGCGGTGTGCACGCCCGGCCATCTTGCCTAGACCACATCCAACCCATGTACCAGGGCGCACCCTGTCCCACCCGCCTTTAAAATCAGCCTGGCGCATGCACACCTCCAGGGACTGGCAAATCTCCGATTTGCATGCTTGCAAGCCCCAGAACCAGTTGCCCCAGCCAGTCCCCTCCCCACCTGCACGACGTGCTCCGATGGAATTCGTCGCCAGATGTCCTGCAGCTGGTACGCCGGCCAGTGCCAGCTGCCCTGCAGCAGCTGCAGGGGGATGCCCTTGGCCCGGTCAGAGAGCAGTGCCTCGCGGCTCTGGACATAGCCTGCACGCCGTGCATGGGGTTGCGGTGTGGGGTTCACATGGGGTTTGGTTTTAAGGGTTGATGCATCACCCTGCACAATACCGCACAGGCCAGCCCGGCACAGCCACAGTATGCGCAAGCCTTCGTCACTCTTGGACCTCCGCATGCCCCCCTCCTCGCCCACCAGGTCCCCTCCTTCCTCCCTCCCCCCGCCACCACAGCGTACCGCTCTGCGGCAGGAGGACGGTGATGTTGGCGACGGTGTGGCGCGGCACCACGTGTGCCAGCCCACACTCGTCCACGAGCCGGGCGAGGGCCACCATCTGGCGGTGCTGGCGCGCGGCGCGGTCGGTGGGCGTGCACTCGTGCCGCGCCCACTGGCCGTTGCGGTGCAGGTCCACGCACAGGAGCTGGAGAAAAGTGAGGTGGGGTGCAGAGTTGATTTTGGGATGGGTGCCCGGCGCGTGAGGGCTGCCTATGCTGACATGCACCTGCAGCCCCAGCGGGCGGCGAGGCCATGATGAAGGGGTTGCAAGCGGTGGTCGTCAGCAGTTTTTTGTTCCAGGTCCAGCCCGGGGCAAGAGGCCCCACGGACCCCTGCATCCAGAACCGGCAGGGCACTATAACAGGGACGGTGCAGGTAACCCTGACGTCTGGTAGCTCGGAGCTTTTCAGGAGCCGTCCCCCACGGTGCATGCCATCAAGGATTTGACTGTAACAGTGATGTGCACCCCTGCAATGTCCCCCTTTCCAACCCCTTCCACCCCCCTTCTGGCACCGCAGCAACCTACCCGTGCGATCTTGGGCTCCGCCTCTTCCGCGCCCGGCAGCTGCGGCTGGGAGGCCAGTAGCGTGTAGTCCGGCATGAGCGCACCCGTGTAGCGGTTGGGCAGGTCCACGCGGTCAAAGGTGAGGCGCCCCCCCAGCTGCTCCAAGTGGTGACTGCAGCCAGTGCAGGTGGTGCAGTTGGGCAGGCCGGCGCGCCTGTTGAACACCGTGATGCCCAGCGGGGTCCAGGCCGAGCTGTGCGTAGCGTTGTGCAGGGCGAGGGGGGGGGCACCCTCCGGTGCCGTGGTCAAGCTCCCCCCGCCCCCGGCCAGGCTGCACTCCGCGCAGAACTGGCAGGCGGTGGCCGGTAGGCCGACGCCCAGTTCGCGGGGCACACCCTGGTCCGCCTCGGTGTAGAGCGTGCCGGGTCGGGGCCAGCGCGGCGGGGCCTGCAGTGGTTGGAAAGAGGGGCAAGAGGGTAGGGGTCGGCAAGGTTGGGGTCGGGTGGGGATCGGCAGGGTCGGGGTCGGGAGGACCAGACTCGTGGCACATCAAGCAGGGAGCGAGCAGTGCCATGGAAACTCGCGTGTCTGAGGCTGGCCTACCTCAACGAGCTCTGGACAACGGACAAGCATTGTTCATGCCTCAACAGCACGCTCGATTGAGGCTGCAAGGCAGGGGCTTGACCCTCCCACCTCCCCAAACACCGCCACTCCCAGCTTGCCTCATCCACGTCGGATGCCGATTGGACCTTCTCAACCACCACCAGAGGGATTTTGTTGGGTTGACCGCCGCCGCCTTTCAGGGGCGACTCCTGGGGAGGCAGGGTGGGCGGCGACAGCTTGGCAGCTCGTGATGTCGTGTCCTGAGCGGCGCACGGACGGGCTTCATCCCCAGCATCTGTCAGAGACAGGTACTTCCTTCCTGCATACCGGTACCAAGGGCGTATGTCAGCTCAAGCAGCGAATAACAGCGTCCAGCTCTTGCAGCCGCAGCACGCTCATGTCAACACACCCGCAATACAACCTAGGAGTGCAGAGCTTGACAGTTGGTATATTGTTGGGAAGCCAAACTGACATCCTGTTTCAGTCAGCAGGCAAGAGCCGCCTTTGGAAAGAATGAGCCCCTGTGGTGGGGAGGGGTGGTGGGGTTGGGCGCCAGGGGTTCGGTCGAGCGGCTCGACAGCAGCGTCGGGATCGGCGTGCCGGAAATTGCCCCCGCCTGCCTACCCCCAAGAGGACGAGAGACAGTCCCACCGCCACGAGAGTGGTCAGGAACGCTCTTCGATACGTCATGTTAAGAGAGAAAGCTCGCCCGAAATGCCCTCCGGTTTGTCTCAAGTACTTCTGCGCATGCGGCCAAATTGCGGTAGGCTGCTCTGCACGGCCACGAGATAAGACCACATGACGCTTGACAGTGGAACCCTTTTAGAAGCGACTTAAATGCTTGTTTTATCCGGGCGGATTGAAGATGTGACTTATGGCGACGGAACAAAAACTGTCGCGCCCTCACGGGGAGCTGAGTTGGAAGCCGACATAACCGCACGGAGTCCGTTGCTTGCCAGGACAACGGGGTCGCCGCGACGCGCATATCCAGAATACTAACACCAGCAGTTGGGATGAGGTTCTCTTTAAAAATCCAAGGTTAATGGTTTCCATTTTATTGGATGAACGGGAGAGGAACATCTGCAGCCATCACTAAGGATCCACCGTACGCACAGTGTTGATACAGTCCTTCTGATACTCCAGCATGTAATTTCGCTGTATGCTGGAGTGAGTGTTCCATTCTGCATGTACATGGCTGAGCTTGGGGAGCCTGGGAAAGCAGTTTGGTGTCTGTATACCCTCCAACCCCCAAGCATGAGTGGTAACTTTTCGAATTACAGCCATCCTCGACGACCGCTGGCGATAGCAGAAGGTGGGTGCTCCTCAATCAGCAGTCCTGTCAGGGCCGGCGACCATCAAGTGCAGATGATGGGTTGTATACCTTGGAGATTTGGACAGTACTGTGTTCCGGGCGCACATATCCGTTCAAAGGGCTTTTGCCAGAATAGCTGGTGAGTTCTGGTGACGAAGTTACTTGTGGATCGTTCAATTCGAGTACCCTAGTGTTGTGTCGGAATGCTGCTCGTGTGGCAGGGTATCACAGGGAAAGTTTGCGCGGCAAAATTTCCGAGACATTCAAACGTTGGCGAGCTGGCGCATCGTCCTCCCCGTGAAAGTTGCGCGCAATTGTAATCTAGGAGGGAAGCGAGACATGTGCGCGCGCGATATCCTCCCTGAAACTCTGCACAAACAGTCGCAGGGCATCGTGGATGCGCTCCGGCGACACCATGCTCTTCGTAGGCCCGAGCTCGACCTCTGCCGTTGATTGATAGCGGGCCGGGGCAGCATGGCGATCTCATCGCCCGCAGCGTTTGCCTCGTGGAGCGAAGCTTGGATAGCAGAGTCCCTGGATGTGGAGGAGTCGACGCTTTCACAGCTCGCCCGCGCCGTGCGTTATGGCGTGAGGGTGTCCTTCCGAGTGCCCGTAGGCTACGACACCCCTCCTGAGCGCCACAACTGCCGAACACCATCGCGCCTTTCGAGCCAAGCCTCTTACACTGCATCTTGTCGAATGCCCCACAGGAGGAGCAGCTGGACCCCAATGCATCCGAGTCGGCTGTGTGGAACTCCTCCCCACCTAAAGCGGGCGTCCAACCCAGCGTTGCCCACTCTCAGGAGGCCCTGCCTGGGAGCAGAGGCCCCTCGCCCCCGTGCCCCGATGTGAGCTCATGGGGAGCAGAGAGTGTGCAGGTCCTGCTGCAAGAACGCACGATCGAGCTGGAGCTGGAGCGGGCGAGGCGCCAGGCGCTGCAGCAGGCCCTGCTGGAGGCCGAGGAAAGGGCCAGGCTCCTGGCCCAGGATCGGGAGCAGTTGGCGGACAGGCACCGCGCCGAGCTGGAGGACCTGGCAGCGGCCTGCGACGCCGAGCTGGCCGAGGCGCGCGGTCTCCATCGCCGGGAGGTCGCTGAGCTGGCGGCGGCGTATGAGGCCCAGCTGGAGGGGACCCAGGACCAGGTCGCCATGCTGGAGGACAGGCTGAATGTGACTCAGTATGGCGGTACCCCCATGGGTGAGCTCGGTGGAGGTAGTCCCTGTAGGGAGCAGAGACAGGACGACGGGGTTGCCAAATGGGGCGCGCCGTGCTTGCCTTGCGTCCATTTTCTACGCTGTATGCTTGCCTCGTTCAAAATCGTCGCAATATTGTGCCCCTGCCCCCTCCCTATCCACAGGACATCCCAATATTCAAACCCGCTCCGACAGGGGCTCACCCACCAATGCCATGGAGGCCCCTGTGCGGGACCTGTTTGACAGCCCCATGAAGGGAGTCTGTGGCACCGCCCAGGCCGGCGATGCCTTCTGTGGAATGCCTCCCCCACTGGCCGCCCAGCCTTCCCTGGTGTCGGCCGCCTCGCAGCAGGCTGTGACGGCCGACAGCTGTCCCTGGGACTCCTCTTCGTCAGACGAGGACGGCGCGCCGGCCCCGCATCGCAGCTCGCCTGAGATCGAGGTGGGTGCTCCCCGGCACGTCCACGGCGCTTCCACGGGCGGAGTGGAGGGCTCCACTTCACTACACCAGGCACAGCAAGGGACGCTGGCCGCAAGGCCGGCCCCGGTGCCCGGGACCGCCGCCGTCGAGGAGCGTCACCTGCGCTCCGAGATCGCCGCTCTCAACCGCAAGGTGTGTCTTGATCGAGGTGGACCCAGTCTGATGCCCACCAAAGTCGGAGAAGTGGGGTGTGCCAGCGCAGCCCTGCGACGCCTGGGGGAGCTAGCCGGCCGAGGGATGCTTGCCGGGTCCTTTCCTCATGCACCCTCCCACAAGGGCGACCTGTCCCCATACCCCTCCTGCTTGCACGGCCGACCCTCATCCCCTCTCCCCCGACCCTCCTGCGCAGCTCGAGCGGGGCGGCGAGTCGCTGTGCAAGGCCACCCACGCCATTCGCGTGCTGCACTTCAAGCTCCAGCGCGAGCGACAGAGCGTGGCCCGCCTGCAGGCCGACAAGTGCATGCTCCAGTCGCGGCTGCTGGCGGCCCTGGGCGAGGCCGTGGAGGCCGAGGGCGGGCTTGCGGGGCACGGCCCCCCGACATCCAAGCAGCTGCAGGATTCCGACACTTTGCCGCCGGAAATCGACGACCAGGAGGCCGACGCCGTGCGGGGCCTGGAGGCCGGCCTGGCGGAGATGGCGCGCCGCCTGGCGGCCGCGGAGGGCGTGGCCGCGGGCGCCGACTCGATGCGCGAGGAAGCCGCTTGCCTGCGCGCCGAGCTGGCGCGCGAGCGCGCCGCGCTGGCGGAGGCGAGGCGGGAGCGCGACGAGGCCAGGCGCGCCGCCGACCGCGCCGCCGAGCACGCCGCGCGGACCACGGAGGCGCTGATGGCCGCGCGGGAGGCGGCGGCGGACGTGCGGCGGCGCGGTGGGGCATGTCCTGGGATGGAGGACTGCGTGGGTCGTCAGGTGCGGGGCGCGGCGCCCTCCACGGACCCTGCGGCGGTCGGGCCTCGGGACGAGAGCGAGGTCCGCGCCGGCGATCCGGCCACGCTGGGTGAGGCCACGGCGTCGGAGGCCGCGGCGCTGCGCGCCGCGCTGAGTGCTGCGCGGGCCGCGGAGCGCGAGGCGCTGGCCTCCGCGGGCGGCGCGCTGGGGAGGGCCGAGGCCCTGGCCTCCGCGCTGGAGGCTGCGAGGGGAGAGCTTGCCGGGGCGCAGGCCAGGACCTCGGAGCTGCAGGCCGCGCTGGAGGCGGCGCGCGCCGACGTGGCGCTGGCCGCCGATCTGCAGGGAGGCCTGCGGGGCGGAGACCGCGGCGCCGATGTCGTGGGTGAGTCAGGTGGGAGGATGGGGTCGACGGGGGGTGAGGGGCGGTGTGGAGTGTGACAGGGGCCACCCTGTCGACGCCCAGCGCATCTGCGTCCAGACGCCCGGCTGCTGGGGTTGCAAGGACCCCGGCGACGCGACGCACGCTTGCAGGGTCGCTCCGTCTGCGCCCCAGTGCGTCCCTGCTCGACACTCGCCCCGCACGTTCTCCCTCATTCCCGGTTCATTCGCCGCTCCCCCTCACGAACCCCCCCTCCGCAGGCCTGATCGACGCGGTGCAGGCGCTGCAGGTCCGCAACCGGGGCCTCACGGCCGCGCTGGAGGCCAGCACGGAGGCCTCCTCGCGCGGCGCCGAGCGGCTGGAGCGCCTGGGCGAGCGCTGCGCGGCGGCCGAGGCGGCTGCGGAGCGGGAGCGCGAGCGCGCGGAGCGCACGGCCGCCCTGCTCGAGGCCAAGGCCGCCGAGCTGGAGGCGCAGGCGGCGCACGCGGCCGGCGCACGCGCGGAGCTGCGGGCGGCGGAGGACGCGGCGACCGCACGGGCGACCGCGTTTGCCGACCTGGAGGGGCAGGTGGCCAGCTACCAGGGCATGCTCGCGTCGCAGGAGGTGCGTGTTTGGGTGGGCTGCTGGCGGCGCATGCGGCGGCAGGGGGGGGCACTCTCGCGTCTTGGGTTCGGGAGGTGGCAATGCGTACCTACACGCTCCGGGGGCTCTGGGCCTCATGCCAGGAAGAGGACGCCTGCGCTGGGCCGTGAAGCGTGTCGCACACTGACCAGCCCAGCAACCCACGGATCCCCACGCAGGCAATCCTCAAGCGCACCGTGGCCGCCCTGACCAGCCTGAGGAAGCGGGCGGGCGACGACGCGGCCAGGCTGGCAACGCTAAAGGTGCGTGTGCGTGGTTGATGTGGACAGTTTCTGGGAGGGGTCTGGTGGTACGAAGCAGAGGGGGAGCGGTGGCACGGCCGAGGCGGGAAGTGGACACTGCAGGTCAACAGGGTGCCTTGCACAGGGTGCATCCCCCGTGCCCTGCACTCCTGGAAACAGGGTCATTTGGGCTTGTGGGCTGCCGGACGAGCGAGAGAACATCACAGATCTTCCTGAACATGAACACAGGGGGCGGCCGGCGAGGCCGAGGCCCTCCGCAAAGCCTCCGGCGCACGCGAGCGGGAACTTGGAGACTGCCGCGAAGCCAGGCGGGTGGCCGAGGCGGCGTGTGCCGCGGCCGAGGCGCGCGCGCTGCGCCTGGAGGGCGCGCTCTCCCGCCTGGCGGCCGAGCTCGCCTCCGGGCAGGACGCGCTCCTGTCGGCGCGGCGCGAGGGCGCGGAGGCGCTGGATGCGCGCGCCGCGCTGGAGGCGCGGCTGGAGGAGGGACGGGCGCGGGGTGCCGAGCTGGAGGCGAGAGTATCACGCGCGGAGGGCAGGGCCGCCGAGCTGGAGGGCGCGGCGGCTGCGCTGCGCCTGTTGGCCCAGGCGCACGGCTATGTGTTCGAAGAGGCGGTGGACGCCGGGGCTGCAACGTGCGCAGAGGGGCCAGGGAGGTATGCGAGCTCGGAGGACGCAGAACTCTGTCCACTGAAATCCGCGGTCAGGCACCTGGACCGCGCGCTCGCCGCCGCGCTGGCCGGGCGATGCGAGGCGGAGACGGAGCGCGAGGCTTCCCGTCGTGCCCTCGCCGCCGCCGAGCGCAAGCTGGCCGAGGCGCGGGCGGAGGCCGAGGGCCTGCGCGGCCGGGCGGCCGAGTCGTCTGCCGCCGCCGCCGCCGCGGGCGCCGACATGGCGCTGCTGGAGGCCCAGGCGGGGACGCTGCGACGCGAGCTGGAGTTCTTAGGGCTGCAGTTGGCTGATGCCAGGGAGGAAGGCGAGGCGGGCGCCTCGCGGGCCGCCGCCGAGGCGCTCGAGCGCGCCGCACATCAGCAGGTGGTGGTGGGGTGGGGTGGGTGGGTGGGTGGGTGTGGGCGGGCCACGGCAGGGGAGGGGGCATACTGACGCCTTGTGAATGGGGTCGTGCTCGTCGTGTCTGTTCCGACAACAAGGACCCGGCCGGCCAGCCGCATGGGGGCATCAGCGCGCCGACCAAACGTGCCTGGCCGAGGTCACCCCGGCCCCGACGCTCTTGTTCACGAGTCCATTCCTGTGTCAAACAGACAGCCGCCCGGCTGGAGCTTGCACTGGAGCTGGCGGCTGCAAGGCGAGGCCTGCCGCAGGCTGTCGGCGGAGAGACGCCCGACGGCTCGATCGGCAGCGCCGGCGGCAGTGCATCGGAGGGAGTCGCACCCTCCGCGCCTGTGTGTGATGCTACGGCATCACACGCTCTCGCCCGGAGCCTCACGGCAAGGCTGGACCGCTGTGTGTGCCTGGCCGGCGCCCTGGCTGCAGCGGCTGGCGATGAGCCGCGGGCGCGCGATGCGGCACCCGAGCCCACGACACTCGGCCCGGCCCCCGCCGCCGCCGCCGAGGCCGCGCTCCTGCGCGCCGTCTGCCGGCTGGCGCTGGCTGTGACCATGGACCAGGTGGGCGGCTCACGCGACGCCGCGCAGGTCGTGGCCGAGCTGCAGCCGGGGATTCGGGCCCAGGAGGAGCTCCTGGCGGCCATGGGCCTGGACAGGGTGAGTGTGATTGAGTGGGAGGGGGGGCCGTGGGTGCATCCACTTTGGGGGGGGGAAGGAGAGGGCGGCCTGCTGCCTCCAGTTTCTTGGCACGTGGGTCGAGGGTGGGGATGGCTGAGCGTCGAGTGGGAATCGAGGTGCATGGCGCCCTGGTGGTGGGCGGGGTGCACCAGTGCTGTGCTGCCGGCCAGACCGTCTGATGCCCAGCCTTCCCCCCGCCCACGTGCCAGGTGTGGCAGGCCCTGGTCGGCCTGGCCGGCAGGAAGACCCCGGCACGCAGCGGGTGCAGGAGCGGGACCCCCCCCGCGACGCCCTGCTCCGCACCCAGCGCGTCGGGTTGGCGAGCCCTGGTGAGCGGGGTCGACGGCGGGATGGGGAGGGGCATGGGTGTGGGTCCGGAGTGCACCTCTCCATCTCAGCCAGGGTCGGGTGGGCAGGGGGGTGCCGTTTGGCGCGGGCAGGGCTCAGCGAAGCTGATGAGCCGCACGGGCCGACTGCCCCTCTCTCCCAGCTGGTCCATCACCGGCCCCACACCACCACCCGCCGATCCCACCCCCGGCAGTCCCAGCCCCCGCTGGAGAGCCTGGCGCTCCTCGCGGCCGACGTGGCATGGGTGCTGGGCGAACACCCGGCCTCGCTCGCCGCTGCTGGCAGGTACGCCGTCGAGCGCCGTGGGTTTGTGTGAAGGGCATCGGGCGTATCCCCGCGATCACTCGCCCCGTGCGCATCCCACGAACGCATGCGCATGGGCATGCGGTGGCATCCATTGTTGCATGCCCGAACTCAGCTCCCTTCCGTACCCTGGAGGAAACCCTGCCACCCGTGCCCTCCCCCTTCTCCACCACAGGGAGGGCGCTCCCGACCCGGAGACCACCGTCGCCGTGCTCATCGAGGCGGTCAGGAGCCTGATGCAGCGCCACAGGGGTGTGCTCCGCCTGCTGCGCGGTCAGGGCCGCGTCAACGATCGGAATCTGGCCGACTCCGCGTCGCAGGCAGTGTCCATCGGCCGCCATGCGTGCACGGCTGGGGCTGACCAATGTCGCTCGCCCCCGGCCCGCCCCTCGTCCCACCGCGGCCTGGTCCGCGAGAGGCGGGGCCGGCGCGAGCGGGAGCGCCCTGCGGGGCTGGACGCCCACTCGCACGTCAAGCAGGTGGCCCGGGGTGTGCAAGGGGGGTCTTGGGGAATGCCTCAACCAGCGATCCTTTTTGGAAGACCAGGCAGAATGCCATTAAGGAAGTTGAAGGCAGTTGCCGCCCGCGAGTCACCCCCCCTTTCCCATCGTTGCCGGCCCTCTCCCGACTCACTGCACACAGGGCCTGGACCGGCTGATCAGGGCGGCGGGCGGCCCGGCCTGGGACGATGCGGCACTGGGCTCCGGCATCGAGTCCGAGGAGGAGGAGTGCATTCCCCTGCGTAGGCGCTTTGCCACGCCCCCCGCCCAGGCCCTGACGTGACCCTGTTGCCACCCCCTTGCCGTGCCACCGACACACCGCAGTTTACATGTGACTCCCCAAGACTTTCGTTGTATAGCGCCGAACGACGCAGCGTGCCTGCTCCCCCCCCCCTCCCCGGAATAATATCTCACTCAAATGGTCAGTACGGGGCGCAGGGCCTCCCCCCTGCCCACCAGCTCCAGGTCGTGGCCGCCATGCCCGTGCAGGAAGGCTGGGGTCAGCTGGCTGCAGCCCCACACCTCCAGCCGGCGCAGGCCGGGGCAGGCCTCCACCAGCCGGCCCAGGCTGCCGTCGCGCAGGCCCCTGCACCAGCTCACGTCCAGGGTCTCCAGCGCCTTGGCCCCCCGCGCCGCCAGCGCCGCCGCCAGGCCCGGCCCCGCAGCGGGGACGCCCGCGACGCACAGCGTGCGCAGCGTGCCCAGCGCGGCCACCGCCTCCAGCCCCTCCTCGCCCACGCGCTGGCAGCGGCGCAGGCTCAGCACGCGCAGCACGCGGCAGTGCTGCGCCAGCGCCGCCACGCCCGCGTCGGTCAGCGCCGCGCAGTCGCCCAGGTCCAGAGACTCGAGGCCCGGGTGGGCGGCCGCCAGGGAGGCGAGCGCGGCGTCAGACACGCCCGCGCAACGCTCCAGGCCCAGCGCGCGCAGCGTGGGGAGCACCCCGGCCTCGCCCAGCAGCTCGGCCACGGGGATGTCGCAGCCGCTCAGCACCACTGTGTGGTTTGAGTTGGTGGCAGCAGGAGTGAGGGGAGGGAGGGATGAGGTGGGAGAGGGCCAAGGAAACATGGGTTTGTGGTGGTCGATTGTCATGTGGCAAAGCGCGGCGATTGCCTCCCTAGAAACCGCAACATATGTGAGCAACACTCCTCTGGGCGCGCCTGACGTCAGGGGACCCAGCCGCGGCAGGGTCCTCGCCAGGAGTCGCCCGTCCATGCCGCGGTCCTCGGCAATGTCCAGCTCCCTGTATGGATGTCAATTATGTGGAGGTATGTCTTTGAGCGACCCTACCCAAACTCAAGCCGCTGTGGTTGCGGGGCTACACACCTCGAATGCCTCATTGCAGCCCTCCCCCCTGCCCCCCTTTCTCCCCAACCCCTCCCTGGCAAACTCACTCCAGGCCGGGGCCCTCCTCCGCCCAGCGCTCCAGGGCCTGGCCGGTGAGGCGCGAGCTCTCCGGCAGGCCCAGCGTGCGCAGCGCGGGGCAGGCCCGCAGCAGCGCCAGCAGGCCCTCGTCCCCCAGGCGGTATGCGCCTGCCAGCCTCAGCGTGCGCAGCGCGGGGAAGGGCCCCGCGGCCGCCAGCCGGCGCGCGGTGGCGTCGGTCATGCCCCGCCCGCACAGGCCCAGGTCGACCACCTCCAGCCGGGGCCCGGCGACGCGCAGCAGCGCCGCCTCAAGTTGCACTGGCTCCAGCAGCGTGCAGTCGGCGACGACCAGCTCGTCCGGCTGGTCGCCGGTGAGCAGCTCCACTGCGTGCGCTGACATGGCACGTCGCGCGCACACCTGCCGCGCTATCCTGGTCTGTTCTCAAATGTGGTGGGCAAGGGAGATGGAGGTTGTCATCAAGACCACAGGCTGGCATGCAGGTTGCGAGGTAAAAGCGGGTCATTTGAAGACCCTCCAACCCCTTGCTTGAAGCTGCACCTAGCTATCGCCTTGCCTCCTGCCTCAGGGCATGGACATCCCCGGCCAGTGAGATGCCGCACCCCACCAACGCCCCACCTCCTCCACAGCACCCTGAGCCCTGACCTTGAGGATGTAGGGCAGCCCCGCCAGCGTCTCCACGTCCTCGATATTGCTCACCACTTGGTCCAAGGCCAGGTCGGAAAGTAACGGCACGGCCCCATCGCACCTGGGCCCCAGGCTCGGGTCGCGGGCCGGCCGCCAGTCCTCCTCGGCGGCCGCCGCGCCTGCAGCCTCCCTGAGCTTCTCCTGTCTCCGCTCCAGGGCCGCGCCCCGGGCCTCTGCCAGCTCCACCGCGCTGTTCCAGGGGCCCAGGTGGCGGGCGTCCGTGCCTCCTACATGGGCCTCGCCACCCGTGGCGGGGGCGTCGCCCTCCGCCGAGAAGTGGGCAAAGTGGGCGGCCCGACTGTCGAGTTTGGGGGGGTGAGGCAGTGCAGGGCCGCGTCAGGAACAGTGACACCGTGTAGTAGAGTGGGACTCAATCCCCTCAGCTGCAGCCCATGCCAATGTCTCGCCTGCGTGCTACTCGCTGGGCGGCCTGGGCGCGAGCGGTTCCCAGGTCCTGCGGCTCCCCCGTCTCATCGTCTGTCCGCTGGATGGCGCTGGGCTGCTCCGCGGCAGCCTCCGCGGCCCTCCTCCTGGGCGGCATGATCCGAGTGAGCTCCGGTATCCCCTCCACTTCAGTACATTCAGCCAGCAGCGGTCAGATGTGAGACACGCCTTCAGCGACCGTCCTCAAAACTTGAAGATTCACTGCAGGATTCTATTTGTATGTTTCTTGCCAACTCCTATGCTCGATGCCGGCATGTTCCGGCTCGTAAAGGGATCCCCGCCCGATTGTGTTGTCGTGTCCATGCGATGCGTGCTGGGAAGGTTGAAGTCGGCTCTCCAATGTGTCGTCATGTCTTGAGGCGGAGCAGATGGACCTTTCAAGATCTAGTTGGGGTCTAAAATGAAAGCGTATACTCTCAAGTGCGGGATGGTATAGGCCATGGCCTGTCTGTCAAGAGCGGGTTGGCTCGACATGTCCACATGCCGGTGGCGAGGAAAGCTGTCTCCTCGCTGCCGAGCACGTCCGACTGGATAGGTCTGGTGTAGATCTACACATGGATCCTTCGACAAGATCTGGCAACTCTTGGTTCTCGCTGTACACCCTACTGAGTAACGTACGTCCGTGGGTGATGGCGGATGAATCTCGAGCGGGCATCATTGGCGCCTGGCATGGCATGGCGATTGATGAGTACATCATGGCCTCACACAATAGCGTACCCGCTGTCGATGACGGCAGGATCAGGGCATTCGGCTGCGTCTGCGCATTCCCCAGACCGTGCTCTTCCGCCTGGGCACCCCCATTGCCTGGCTGTCCACAGACAGGGTGAGTGATGAAAATGGGCGATCCTTGGCGTTGCTTTCTACCTGGCGGAACACATATCCATATGGGCAAAGACACGCACCTTGAGGCACCAGAAGTTGCATGCATGCAGGATGGCATCATCCAGTCACAGCAGCCCTCCCGGCTCAGCATGGAGGAGATCGTCCGGCACTTCCTCAAGTGCTCCCCGGATCCAGACGCACCATACGTGGCTGTGGCGAGGGGTGCGGATGGGGTCCCCCGCCTCCTCAGCAGGGCTGCGCTGGGGACGCTGGCTGACTCGCTGGGCCGCCTGGGCATCAACGCCCCCTACATGCTGCAGGTGCGGGGGCGTAGGGATTGATGCGTGGTGCCTTCTTTTGGTGCGAGGTCGCCGCCTGTGCTGCGGTAGTACACACACACACAGCCTACCCTCTCAGCAAGGGCTGGCCCCCGCTGCCTCCCTCCGCAATGGCCTGGCCAGGTCCCCCCACCCCATGCTGTGGCCAAACAATCCGCCCCCCCCGGAAGAACATCCACCCCATCCAATACCTCATTCCAACCCCCTCGCCTGCCCTCCCCCACCCAGGCCCACTTCCAGCCCCTGCTGGACCTGCGCTACATCACCACCTACAACAACGACGGCACCTGCACCTCCTGCCATACGCACCAGCGTCGCTTCAGCCTGCGGTATAGCCCTCCCCCCGGCGGCGCTTGGGCCGCCCCCGCCCCCGACGATCCCCCCAGGGACCCCACCGAGGGCTCTGACCGGGGCCTAGGGCCCGTTGACCCCGCCCTGAAAATGACCGCCCGCCGCACCGTGCAGCACCTGGCGCAGTACTGCCAGAGGGCGCACGGTGCCTCCCTGCGCTCCCTGGTCTGCGAGTTCGCACGGGACGCGACGGGCGCGCTGTGCCTGCTGGGTGTCCTGCGTGCCGACTGGGCGTCCAGCACGGCAGGTCGGGCGGTGCGCGTCATGCGTGCAGCTGATGAGGGGGACCCGGGCTTGGGACGCTGTTCTGGGCACGCTGGCCTCTGTCCCGGACAGACCCTGATCTTCTCCACCACCTCTCCTCCCAGGTCGTGGCGGCGAGCCCTGGGCGTCGGCCAACTTCCTGCCGGCTACCGCGGAGGCCTCCTGGGAGGGGGAGCCCGAGATCGCGGCCTTTCGGCCGCCGACAGTGCCGCCGCCTGGCAGTCGGGGGGACCAGAGTCGTGCAGAGGCGCTGGGCAAGGCGTGGGCGGCCGAACTGGGCAGGCAGGACATGGCAGAGCCCGCGCTTTCCCCAGGGCTGGATGGCGGCAGCCCTGGTGTGTCGGGGCTGCAGCGGGATAGGTGAGCTGCGTCGGGGGGGGGGCAAATCTGCCCATAATGCATGGCAGCTGGGTTGTTGCACACGGTGGATCACGCTCAGATCCTGCAAGCTTTGGCGGCCTGCCTGGCGGGGCCGCGCTGTGCTGGACCCATGGTAGCTGCTGGTCAAGATGCCCCAGTGCTACCAGGCTCCTCTTGTCCTTCCCACCCCTGAAACAAGCAGGGCCCGGCAGACCCGCCGCCTGCTGCCCTACTCCATGGTCAAGGGTGGGGCGGTGCTGACCTCCCACCTCACCCGCCAACTTGTGGGCGTGGTGGACGACCTGGCGGCCAAGTCGGAGCTGGCCGAGCGGCTGGTGGAGGAGATCAGGGCGCTGCAGCACGACCGGCACGTCACCACGCAGGCCTTTGACACGCTGACCACCAACCTGCAGGCCGACCTTGAGGCCGCCAGATCACAGTGAGAGGAAATTCTACCTTGTGTGTGGGGGGGGAATGCTGCTGGCTGGGTTTTGCAGAGGGAGACAGGGTTAGGGAGGGGTTACCTGTGTAGAGTGAGACCCTGCTTGCCTGTACGTGCATCGTTGTCAATGTGCGCACGGGGCGCCATTGGAAGTCAGCAGACATGCTTGCAGACGAACTTACCTCCCTGGTGAATCCCAGCTCAGACCACCAGACCACCCTACTTTCAAACCGATTCACTGATCGCCAGGGTGGGGGAGCTGGTACAGGAGCGGGAAGCCCTCTCCTCCCAGCTGGAGACGGCCAAGGTGGTGGGTGCGGCGGCGGCCGCCGCCCGGGATGACCTCAGGGCCCAGCTGCAGAGCGAGCGGGGCGTGGTACTGCAGGCGCTGCGGGAGGCGGAGCGCGCCCAGCGTGGGGCCGAGGAGGAGGCGGTGCGCGCCCGGGCGGAGGCCGCAGAAGCCCAGCGCCTGCTCAGGCATGCAGCGCGGTGATTGAGTTTGACAAAGGGGAGAGGGGTTGGGGTCAGAAACCGCGCGGCGCAGCACTCTTTCCCCACAGAATTCGCACCGCAGTGCAACTTCTGCAGTGCTCCTTGGAGGAAAGACGCGTACGGTCATCGTTCTTTGCAGTGAGGGTTCTGCCAATTCATGCCCATGGCCCCATTTTATCCCCCACCCTTGTCTTGCTCCACCCTGCCCTCAAGATCACCAATCTCCTCTCTTCACTCCTGCCCCGCCCCAAAACGCACAGGGAGGAGAGAATCGGTGTGGATGCGATGAAGCGGCAGGCAGTGCTGTACCACACCGCCCTGACCTCGGCGGGGCTGGCCCACATGGTGTCGGGGGACGGGAATGCGAGCTTCCTCCGCGCCAACCAATTATCGGCCGAGGCAGCGAGGCCAGAGGTCCGCTTCTGGCAGGTCCTCCAGTTCCTGGACCCCCAGCTTCAGCTGCAGGCCGACCACCACGGCGAGCGCTACTCCCTGACTCAGCTGCTTCACACCTGGCAGGTGGGTGTCTTGGAGTGGGTTGAAAGGGGGGAACACAGCGCGCCTGCCCTGAATCTTGCCGAGCAGGACATGCAAGATGTGGACCGACGGCGTGGCTATCAGTTACCATCTTATAGTCAGAATGCACACAATTCAAACACCCACCCCTTCTCACAAAGCACAGGCGGACCTGCACTCGGTTTTCCTCAACTACTGCCTGTATGACCGCGAGTTTGCCAAGGCATGGCCGCCCCAGCTGGGAATCCAGGGCTGGACCGCATTCCTGAAAGAGTCAGGGGTTTCCACCTCCACAGCCAAGCCTGGCGCAGAGAATGCGACGGGAGAGGCCGCCCTGGAGCTGTTCTCGAGGCTGGCAGAGGGACAGGGCAGTTGTGAGGAGCCCGGCGGGTCGGCGGAGCCTGGCACGGATGCTCTAGCTCAGCAGGGCGCAGAGCCTTCCCCCGTCACGGCCTCTGCGTCTGCTGTACCACCTTTGCCCTCGGCAGAGCCTGCCAGGCTGGGCTTCCAGCTGTTTTGCGTGGCTCTGGTCCGCCTAGCACGCTTGCTGAGCGAGGCGCGGCAGCCGCCGCAGCCTGTTGCCGCTGCATCCCTCACAGTGAGTCACAGATGGCGTGCACGTTTGATGTGCACCTTACTTTATCTCAGGTTCGGCAAGAGTTCTGTTCGATGTTTCCTCATACCCCGGCTGCCCTTTCTTCCCCCATTTATACACTTGCCAGGAGCTGACCAGGCAGGTGCTGACCCCGATCCTTGCCAAAGCGGGCCGGTTGGCCTGCAAGACGCTGGCAACGCCGACAAGAACCGGCAAGGGGAGGCGAGACGTTGCAGGGAAGGGGCGGCCAACTCAAAGAGCAGGCAAACTGTAAACCAAGTTTATGTTTCTGCTGTGCCAGGCCACAGCAATATGGAAAAATGCTCCTGTACAAAAAGATGCCATCCTGCGCTTCAGGACACTGTGACGTCTGGAACTCGGGGGTTTTACAGTCTGCGAAATCAAAACTCCTCCCGCTTGCAGCAAGCATTCAATGTATGGACTGAGGGATGGTTCCCATGCTACGCCCGTGCTGAGCCCCTGACACGTATTGTGTTTTTCCCATCGCTGTGACGGAAACCTCTCGAGTGATGCGACGACGATAGTTAACAATACATCAAGTATCCTGTAAATTCCTAACATTCATCCGTGATCGGATTGGCGAGATCATGGCAAAATCATGTAGGAAGGTATTCGCGGTGCTGGGAGCCATCTGTCTAGCCTCGCATGTCCTCTCGGTGCAGGCTCTGTACGATGCATCCAGTTCAGTCAAGGTTCTGAATGCCGCAAAACTCTCGAAAGCCCTCGACACTCGTGGGGTCCTGCTCGTGGAGTTCTTCGCGCCATGGGTGAGCGGAGACAGCTCTGTCTATTTATTGCAGTCTGTGTTCTTGCCTACGATAATGAAGAGATTTAAACCGCCTGCAGCACCAATCCTCACAATCATACAACATGCAGTGTGGACACTGCAAGAACCTGAAGCCCGAGTGGTGAGTTTGGCAGTGGGGGATCCTGGCATGTGGGTGCTCCAACAATCATGAACATCCAAACAAGAGCAACCCCGCCTGCTACCCTGTCTGAGCATCCAGGGAGAGGGCAGCGACTGCCCTGAATGGCATGCTGACCGTGGCAGCCGTGGATGTGGACTCTGAGAAGGATCTGGGGGCGGAGTACAAGATCCAGGGCTTCCCCACCATCAAGCTCCTGGTCTCCCGGGGTCAAGGCAAGCCCGCCCGCGCTGTGGAGTACAAGGGCGGCCGCACGGCGGCAGAAATCGTGTCCTGGGCCATGCAGCAGGCCGCCAAGGTGGCTGACAAGCGGCTGGGCGGCGGCGATGGAGCCTCCGGCGGCCCAAAGCAGGGCGCCAGTGCCAGGGCGAGCGCCAACGCCAAGGCTGGCCAGGCCCCAGAGGAGCCTGGGTTTTACAAGGGCACAGGTGGAAGGGCTGATGCACTGCAAGAAGTTGCACTTGCGGGTGGCTGGGTGGGTGACAACCCTGTGCACGGCTTGGGGTTGTGCCAGCTTTCTTTTATTGCACAAGGCGTGCGTCCCTCGCTTGACCTCACACCTCGCGCTCACCTTCTCCCCTGCTAGACGTCGTGGAGCTGACGGATGATACCTTCCACAAGGCACTGTCAGAGTCTGGCACGCCGTTTTTCGTCGAGTTTTATGCCCCATGGGTGAGTCTATTCCGCATCAAGCCCCTTGGCTCCTCAAAGCAGTGCTGGGTTGGACCTGATGCTGATGGGTGAGCTAGCCTTGTCCTTGGAAAAGACACCGTCCATCGGAGGCCCTGTGCGCCAGGCTGGCCAGAGCCAGCCCATGGCCGCCGTGGCCATGTGTGCGGGGTGTGGTCCCCGTGCCTCTCATGTCCATCAGACGGCGGAGCCATGCATGATCAAGGGCCATGCACACCCCTTCCTCGCAGTGTGGCCACTGCAAGGCGCTGAAGGCGGACTGGATCGACCTGGCGCGCAGGCTGAGCGGCAAGGTGGGCGTCGCCGCCGTCGACTGCACCGTCTCCAAGCAGACCTGCGCGGAGTTTGGCATCCAGGGTGAGGCTGGGCGAGGGGGATCGACCCCGGGACGCGAGGGGCGCGTGGAGATCCCGGGGTGGACCATGCAGCCTGGTCTGGCTGGGCCCTCGTCTCACGAGGGACCGGGGCCGGAGCACCAGACCGCATCAAACTCAAGGCCATGGGGCCACTCACCTCATTCTCTTCCTCCCCCCCCCCCCCCCCCCACGGCTTCCCCACCATCAATTGGTTTGCCACTGGGGAGTCCCAGGCCGAGGCGTACCAGGGTGCCAGGGACGCAGGTGCCCTGGAGGCCTTTGCGCTGGCTCGCTGGGCAGCCACGGCCCCGCCCCCGGAGGTGAGGAGGCGGTGTGTGAGGAGGGCGTGATGACAGCTTGCTCGCCCCCAGTCTGGGTGACTGCGATTGTCGGGCGGACTCGAGCGCTCAGCCCGCCCCCCTCCTGGGCATGTTGGCTGGCGCCTTGGAATGCTGATGGTCCATGCCCCCTCCCTGACCGCAGGTGAAGGAGCTGGTGGACCAGCACATCTGGGAGGAGGCCTGTGTCGGCCACCCAGCAGGTTGATGTCTCGGCACGCATGAGAGAGGGGTGGTGGTCTGGACGGGTGCGCAGCCTTGGATGCACAGCCCCTTCCCTTTGGCTCTGCAACCCCTGGGAGGATTGCAGTGAGGCGATTCCCAATCCCCCGCGCCCACACACACGCGTGCAGAGGAGGACGCGGGCGTGCCCGAGCTCAAGGCGAAGCAGCTGTGTGTGATCGCCTTCCTCCCCGACATCCTGGACTCGGGCGCTGCTGGGCGCAACGACGCCATCGAGGTGGGCGACCTGTGGGTCCGTGGGGGGGCAGTGCAGTGATGAGTTGTGCGTGCATGCCCCGAGGATGAGTGGGGCACATGGTGCTGAGGAGAGGGCTCGGCGCATGCACCCACACCCTTGCATGGCCATGTGCGCTGCAATGCAGCCGCAGAGCAGTTGCCACACCTCGCCACCCACAGGCGCTCAAGACTCTGGCGGAGAAGTTCAAGGACAGGCCCTTCTCCTTCCTGTGGGCGGCCGGGGGGTCACAGCCAGCCCTGGAGGCCAACTTTGGGATCGGGTGAGTGGCAGGGACGGAGGCTGTGGAGAGGAGGGGCAGGGAGGTTGGGGGGCATCGCCGGCTCAGGAGGGTAAAAGTCAGGGGAGGGTGGGCAAGTGTTTTCGACCCCATGCGGCACATTGTTGCCCCCTTGTCAGACTCTGCCCACATCCTTCTGGGACCTTGCATGCCCGTGACTCCATGCCCTGGCTCACCTGCGCCCAGCATTGGCCTTTTGCATGCACACGCCGTCCACACCTGAGATGCATGCCTCGACCGATCGACATGCCGCCGCCTCCCATCTGCTGTGCATCCCAACCCCACTGAACGAGCTCCTCACCAATCTCACCCCACAGGGGGTACGGCTACCCCGCGCTCGTCGCGGTCAACCCGGCCAAGGGCAAGTTCTCCAGCCTGCGCAGCGCCTTTGAGGCCGCTAATGTCCTGGAGTTCATCAACTCGGTGCGGACGGGGCAGGAGCGGGTGGAGCCTGTCACCGGCGCCCTGGCTGCCCTGACCACAACCGACCCCTGGGATGGGAAGGAGGGGGTCCTGGAGGTGGAGGAAGAGTTTTCACTGGAGGACCTCATGGGCAAGGAGGAGCTGTGAGGGGTGCGGAGGAGGAGCGAGGCGGGCCTGCGGCAGCGCAGGCCAGAGCAGACCTTGGTGCTTGCCTTGCGAAGATGAGTGGTTGCACCACTTTGACTTCTCGCCATGCGATGAGCGCTCCAGTCACTGAGGCGGACCAGTCGGAAACGCCGGCCCGAGGGCATACATGTTGGCATGTCTTCTCATGACCCAGGAACAGAAGCTTCGGTACTGGCATGCCTGAACAAGGGTCACCCAACATAAAGTCAGTGTGCTTGCTTGCGCATTACGCATACAAACACACTTGGCAGAGCTGAGCCAATCTGATGCTTCCTTGTGTGCCGAGGCCCCCGCACCCACAACCTTCGTCTCCCTCCTCCCCCTTCCCTCCCTCCCCCGTTTCCTCTCTGTTGTGTGAGGGCACGCGCTTTCTCTTGCAGCTTCAAAATATCAGTGTTCTTCTTCTCCTTGCAAGCAGGCTTCCAAAAAAAGGGGATGGCTCGGTCGGTCACCCCTTGTTCCCGGCCTTCATCTGCCGAGTCTGCACCGTGGTCTTGTACTGGCCCTGTGCAAAGGGATGGTGGGGAATGCTCTCGTCAGTTGGTGAGATGTCGGAGGGAGATCCGACAACCGTCTGGCCCAGCCACTGCCCCAGTGCATGTGCGCGACTGCGTGTTGCTCCCATCCCGGCATCTCAAGGCCCCCCATGCCACCCCACCCGACGCTCACCCGGGAGTTGGGCAGGCGCCCCTCCTTGAGCTCCTTCTCGTACCCCGCGTACTCGTTGCTGTCCTTGAGGGCGCCCTCCTTGAGCAGGAGCCTGAAACCCGGGTCCAGGATGTACCAGGCCACGCCGCCGCCAAAGAGGGCGGCCACGACCACGGGCAGGGTCAGCACGCGGAAGTCGACGCCCTCGGCGCTGGGCAGCGCCAGGGGGGCGGCGGCCGGGGCGTTGGACCCCGTGGCACTGCCGGCGGCGGGGCTCTTCGCCGCGGGGGCGGGGTCGGGCGTGGCCAGGTTGCGCACCTCGGGCTTGTACAGGATGACGCGCGCGTCGGCGGGGGCGGGCTGCAGGGGGAGGGCCGGCAGCGTCAGCAGCAGCGCAGCCGCGGCGGTGGCGGACGCCAGGGACTTAGCACCTTGCAGCAGCTTGGCAACGACATCTGCACGGAATCGAGGAGGGTGTGAGCCGGGTGATGATGAGAATGAGGTGCTGCCAGAATGGGGTCAAGCCAACCTGAGGGCTGCCAGCCACCCGGATGCAGACAGAAATGCAGCAGTACTGGGGGGAATGCGGATTCATTCCAGACTGGAGTATAAACTACGGGCCATGCATGCTGTCGTGGGCAGGGGCAGGGGCTAGCCTCGCGTCCGACCCTCCTGGACCCCTCAAACTCGCCGGGTCCATGGGATGCGGAGGGGATCGGGGCCCTCCTGGATCGCGTCCGGTGACTGGAGCAGGGCGCGACGAAGGGGCGAATCTGCAGGGCTCGCATCGTGCAAGGCTTTCAAGTGGTGGCAATGAGCTGCAAGGGCGCAACAGTGTGTGTGGATCATCGGTGGTGAGGCTCACATTTCTTTCATGGCGCTCCCCGGACGCTGCCCCCGGGACGCATGGAGCCGTGCCCCCAGTACAATACATGGAGAGACTCTGGCACAAGGGGACCAGCCCTGGATCAGAAATGAACCGCGTTTTCAACAAAAACTCAGAGGGGTTGTTCTGAATCTTGGTTTGTCTAGGGCAAGGCCAAAAATGTGGATTTCACTACTCATAATACTGTACTGGGCACGGAGCTGGAGCTAGGGCGAAGGCGTGGCGATAAGACCACCACGCATGCTGCCCCTTGCTCTGAACGAGGACCGACTTCCATCGTCTTCGGGTGCCTTAATAATATTCATTCAAACATACCTTAGTTTTACCTCACGCAGCTTGGCAGCATGGGTCCTGCCCTGTCGACACTGGTGCGTGTGTGGGTCGGTGTCCCTTCCCTATGCGTGGTGGCCTCAGGTGTTCCCGACTCCCAGGAAGCACGCTGATCTGCCAATCAATATGTGGAGAGTCTCACTATGATCCATGCACTCATCAGTCTGATCTCGCACCCCACCTCCCACCGCCAGGCTGCCTCGATAGCGGTGCCTCTTGCGGGAGGCACCCTGATCGGTCTCGCCCTGAAGGATGAGACCCGCGGCGTCTGGTACAAGACCCTGAAGAAGGTAAGCATCCGTTTGGGTGCAGGTGGATGTGGTTGGCCACACGATGGAGGTAGTCCTGGGCAATCTTGCAAGCATCAGCTCCCCCCAGCAGGGCATGTCGCCATGCATCCTCATCTCCCCCTCCCCCCTCCCCACCTTCCTCCAGCCCTCCTGGAACCCCCCTGCCTGGGTGTTTGGTCCCGTGTGGACGGCTTTGTACTCCGCCATGGGCTACGCCTCCTGGCGGGTGTGGCAGGCGGGCGGGGGACAGCTTCCCCTGGGCCTCTACGCCGCGCAGCTGGCGCTGAACTTTGCCTGGTCCCCGCTTTTCTTCGGGGCCAAGGCCTTGGGTGTGGCCGCCGTGGACATCACCGCCCTGGTGGGGATGGTGGCGGCCACCATCTACGAGTTCCAGAAGGTGGACCCTGTCGCCGCGCAGCTGCTCTACCCCTACCTCGCCTGGGTGACGTTTGCCGCCGCCCTCAACTACAATCTCGCCGCCAACAACCCCTCGGGCCAGGTACGTATCTATGTGGAATGAAAAACATGGGGCCTGGTGTACCTGGGGGAAGATGGCTGCGTGATCATTGAAGACCCAAAACCATCCCCCCAATTGCTCCTCTCAGGCACCCCCCGACCCCAAGGTCATCTGAAGGAGGAGCAGCAGAGCCCTCACGCCATGGGCACAGGAATCGGATGTAGAGGGGCAAACGGGACACCAGGCGATACCACTCTGCATTGTAAATGCCTTGACAAGTTCATGTTCTGTAATCTAATTCGAATCACGGGCGTCCATGCAAGCTACTCTGATGTCAGGGAAGCTTCTAGTCAGGAGAAGGAGTTGCTTCGCAGGGTGGTTTGTGCATTGTCCTTCAGGCATGGGGAAGTGGGAACCACTATGTACCGCAGTGATGACCATGAAAGGTGGACACTGTGTTAGATCCTGACACCTGCACCCTCCCTCCCTGGAATCCACAGTCCAGTCAGCGACTGAACCCCACTGCATTCCCTCATGACCAGATCTTACCGAGTGACATTGTCAGACTGGCAGGTTCTTCACACCATGGAAAAGCATCAGTGAGAACTTCCGAATTTGCACAGTGAAAGTATGCCAACAGTGCAAGGAAAGTCTTGGTGGTCGAGCGAAGCGGTAGGGGGACCGAAAAGACGCCATGGCGTACTGCGCCCCAGCGTCACCATAAAATCCTACTTCCTTCCTCAATCCACCTTGGGCGGGTTGCGCTGGCGGAAAGCGTACGTCAGTGCAGCGGCAAAGGCCGAGAAAGCAAAGTAGGGAAGCAGCAGGGTGCTGGCTGCAGGGTCCACCTTGCGGAACTCGACGATGGTGGCAGCCAAGACAACCAGCAGAGCTGTTGATACACAGTGAGGAAAGGGGTGGGGAGTTGGTGGAGGAGTCAAGATTGCCAGGAGAGGAATTTGCAAGACTCCTTTCCGCACATACACTGGAAAATATCATGCCCCCAATCCTGCCACGGATAACATCACTGCAAGGAGCTCACCTGTGATGTCATAAGACGCAGCACGCAGATCGTGTGCCTGTAGAGCAAAGCGTAGGAAGGGGCTTGTCTATCGGTGATACCATCACATTGTGACGCCGACTTCTTCCCTCCCCAGGGTCTGATCTTCTCACAGGATCCTGGACAAGACTTGATACGGTTGATCCTTCCCATTGCCTGCCCGACGCACCTTGAACATGAGGGGTTGCCAGGCCAGGTTCAGGACCAGCTGCAGGGTGTACAGCCCCATGGCCAGGGGAGGAGCACCGGCCTGCCACACCCTGTAGGCAGCGAAGCCCATCAGGGTGTACAGGACACTCCATGCCGGGCCGAAGAAGAGGACGGGAGGGGTCCACGAAGGCTTCTGCAGCTTGGGGTACCAGTCCTTGATGTCTGGGGCGGACCAGATTCCCAGGGCCTGCCCGGCGCCGAGAGGCACGCCGACGGCCACAGCCTGTCACACGGACAGAGATTTGAACGTGGTGTTGCAGCGAGGGGCTGTGCACTCAAGTGCCACGCAGCGCATGCACCATCGAGCCCTCCCCTCGCCCATGGTGTCCCACCAGAGCCGTGAGGTTGGTCATCCTGCCCCGAGGCCGGTCGGAGGATACCCTGGAGGGTCTTTGGGGTGGAAAGTAGGATGAGAAGAACGAGAATGCGCGGCTTCCGAACATGGCGACAATGTAAGTGTGATGCTCGTCATGGCGATGGTTGAGTTGATCGTCGGGAGGGGGAAAGAGCCACATTCCTCGCAGCTCCCGACATCGGGCGAGCAGAGAACTTTCAGAACTGCACCCGAGTTGTAATTAAAATCATATATGTCCAACTTATCACCTTGCTCTGGTCAAGAGCAGTTTTTTGGCCATGCCGCATTTATTGTACGCAATCATATTGTCTGTCAGTACTCTTTGACAAGTTTCTGCATGCAACCCTGGCAATGGGTCCAGGCTTTCCAAAGAGATGGTGGTGTTAAATAACACCAGTTGTTCTAGATTTGAAATGTGCTGAGCGACTACTCGTCCTTCTTGCCGGTCTTCTTGGGCAGGAGCACCGACTGGATGTTGGGGAGCACACCGCCCTCGGCGATGGTCACGCCGGCGAGCAGCTTGGACAGCTCCTCGTCGTTGCGGACCGCCAGCTGGATGTGGCGGGGCACGATGCGGGTCTTCTTGTTGTCGCGAGCGGCGTTGCCGGCCAGCTCGAGCACCTCGGCCGCCAGGTACTCCAGGACAGCTGCCAGGTACACGGGGGCACCGGCACCGATGCGCTCTGTGATTGGAGCGGAGGGGTAGGAGGGTCAATAACGGACAGCTTGCAAGTCTGTGTCTCGGACAGAATGAACCAACGACACATGCACTCACCAGCGTAGCGGCCGTTCTTCAGGTAGCGGGCGATACGCCCGACGGGGAACTGCAGGCCCGCCTTGGAGGACTTGCTCACGGCCTTGCTGCCGGAGGTCTTTCCCTTGCCGCGTCCAGACATGATTGCAGAGTTTTTGGTGTGTGGGAAGATTGAAGACTTTGGGATCGGGAGGATTTTGTGTTCTGGTTGGTCAATGTCCTTCGCCTTTATACTCCGAGCGCGTTGTTAGTTTTTGGTCGCGCAGACCGATCCGGTGGGTCATTTCAAGTCCTGACGCACGGATAGGTGTGCAATGAGGTTGGTATATATCCACGAAGACCGTCTTTTGAAACATCAAACCTTCAAGTTCCCCTGCCTTATTCCTCAACCAGCAACCAAAACTCCAAAAATGGCTCCCGTCGCCAGCAAGAAGCCCGTGTCGGCCAAGAAGCCCGTCGCGGCGAAGAAGCCCGCGGGCGACAAGAAGAAGACCAGCAAGAAGAGCGTGGAGAGCTACAAGCTCTACATCTTCAAGGTGCTCAAGCAGGTCCACCCCGACACCGGCATCTCCTCCAAGGCCATCACCATCCTGAACTCGTTCATCGTGGACCAGTTCGACAAGATCGCCACCCAGGCCTCCCAGCTGTCCCGCGTGAACAAGAAGCCCACGCTGACCAGCCGCGAGATCCAGACCGCCGTGCGCCTGGTGCTGCCCGGCGAGCTTGCCAAGCACGCCGTGTCCGAGGGCACCAAGGCCGTGACCAAGTTCACCTCCGCCTAAGCGGTCGGCCTCGACCCACCAACCCCACTGGTGTTATTCAACACCACCTTTTTGGAAACTCAAAAGTTACTGATTTGCCAGCAGTGTTGTGAAAATAAACCCTGGGGCAGAAACTTTCGTGTTATGCCATCAAGTGTAAGAGGTTTTAGTTTTGCTGAACATTGAGCAGGTCTCCCGCAGATGGGGGACCATACGGTCTTAGAATCACAGCACACAAGATCTGGTTTGGGCAGGCAAACTTTCACTGGGCGACTCATAGTGTACACAGCCACACAGAAGGTACAAGGAGTCTCGTTAAATTGAGTGGGCTCAGAACAACTCATTGCGGCCTTCTCTAGAGTGACGATCAACAAATAATATAGAGTGACGATCAACAAATTATGCTGTACTTGCTCTGTTATCGAATCTCTACACATCAAACTCCTCGTTTCCAGTGAAGGTGGTGTTTAATAACACCAGGTGGTGGGTGGATGGCTTGACGTAGTGGACCTTGCTACATTCAAGCGCGCTCGCCACGGATGCGGCGGGCCAGCTGGATGTCCTTGGGCTGGATGGTCACGCGCTTGGCGTGGATGGCAGCCAGGTTGGTGTCCTCGAACAGGCCGACCAGGTAGGCCTCGGCGGCCTCCTGCAGGGCCAGCACGGCGGAGGACTGGAAGCGCAGGTCGGTCTTGAAGTCCTGGGCGATCTCGCGGACCAGGCGCTGGAAGGGCAGCTTGCGGATCAGCAGCTCCGTGGACTTCTGGTACTTGCGGATCTCGCGCAGGGCGACGGTTCCGGGCCTGTAGCGGTGAGGCTTCTTCACTCCTCCCGTCGCGGGGGCGGACTTGCGAGCGGCCTTGGTGGCCAGCTGCTTGCGGGGGGCCTTGCCACCGGTGGACTTACGGGCGGTCTGCTTGGTGCGAGCCATTGTTCTTGATGTGTTTTGATGTTGAAGGATTTTGGAGGCTGGAAGATTTTGTGGGAGTGCGGTCCCGTCGCGTGGATTTATGCTGTCGCC